CGGCTCGCCTTTGTGTGCGGGGCTTCGTGTTAGGGTTTAGGGTTGAGGGTTTAGGGTTGAGGGTTTGGGGTTGAGGGTTTGGGGTTTTGGGTTTTGGGGCTTGGGGCTTAGGGCTTAGGCTTCAGGGTTAGGGTTGAGGGTTTAGGGTTTAGGAGATTGTGCCGTTTTAAGCACTGAAGTCAAGCTTTGGCTCTGCGTGCCTGCGTCCTGCCGCGGCTTCATCCGCCCACAACATCACAAACCTGCGCAAGCAGCTCGGAACTGTCTTGTTGAGGTTTTGTCTATGTTTCATTCTGGTTTCTTCTATATTCATATGTTTCTGGGAGGCGTTCAAGGGAATTTAGTCGTTTCCAGAGGGAAGGAGGGAGGGAGGGAGGGACGGAGAGAGAGACAGAGAGAGAGGGAGGGAGAGAGAGACAGAGAGAGAGAGAGAGAGAGAGCCAGAGAGACAGAGAAAGAGAGAGAGAGAGAGAGATAGGAGAGAGAGAGAGAGAGTCCAACGAGCGTCCAAGTTGGGGAGATCATGGGTTTAGTCCCTTAACCCCAAACCCTAAACCCTACCGACTGCTACGCTTCACGAGTTCAGTATGCGGGCCGATTGGACCACATTGAAAACGTAAGTGATATGAACCCAAAGTTCCACTTTGAGTGTGTTGGGTAGGTGTATTTAGGGCAACTAAAAAGAAGCTCAAAAACAGATGTATATATATATATGTATACATATATTAGGTGCGTGCTACAAACATATGTCATATCCATACTTTTATATATATATATATATGAAAGAGCAACCTCTAGGGTCTATTTAACCTCTTTTGTTTTCTGCTTAGCTGATAATTATTTAAATAATTCAAATTATTTAAATAATTTAAATAATTTATTTCAGGCCAATTAAATTCTTTAGAGTATTTAAAGAGGCCGGTGGAATTAAATAATTTAAATAATCTAAATTCAGGCCAATTAAATTATTTAAATTATTTAAAGAGACCGGTGGATTTAAATAATTTACATGATTTAATTCAGGCCAATAAAATTATTTAAATTATTGACATTATCATAATTTAAATAATCTAAATTCAGGCCAATCAAATTATTTAGATTATTTAAAGAGGCCGGTGGATTTAAATAACTTAAATCATTTAATTCAGGGCATTTAAATTATTTAACTTTTTTAAAATTGTTTGAATAATTCAAATGCGCGGAAAACCAGGCCCTGAGCCCGAGTAGCCGGAGGCCTGGATCCTCGACCTTTCAAATTATTTAAATATTTTAAATAGTTTAAATAATTTAATTCAGGCAAATTAAACTACTTAAGTTATTTAAATTATTCAAAGAGGCCGGTGGATTTAAATATTTTATTTCAGGCCAATGAAATTGTTTAAATTATGTGATTTTTTAAAAAAGGCCGGTGAATCTACATAATTTAAATGATTTCATTCAGGCCAATTAAATTATTTAATTTTTTTAAATTATTCAAAGGGGCCGGTGGATTTAAATAATTTAAATAATTTTATTCAGGCTAATTAAATTATTCAAATTATTTAAATTATTTAAATTATTTAAAGAGCGCGGTAGATTTAAATATTTAAAATGGTTTAATTCAGGCAAATTAAGTTTTTTAAATTTTTTAATTTTTTAAATTATTTAAGTTATTTAAGTCATCCAAATGCGCGGAAATCCAGGCCCTGAGCCCGAGTAGCCGTCGGCCTGAACCCTCGTCATTTTAAATTTATATTTTTTTTCAATAATTTAAAGAATTTAAATAATTTAGATAATTTGAATAATTTAGATAATTTAAATAATTCAATTCAGGCCAATTAATTTATTTAAATTATTTCATTTATTTAACATTTTAGATTATTTAAACAATTTAAATAGTTCAAGTAGTTTACTTAATTTGTTCAGGCCAAATAAATCATGTAAATTATTTAAATTATTCAAAGAGGCCGGTGGATTTCAATACTTTAAACAGTTTTATTCAGGCCAATAAAATTCTTCAAATTATAAATTATTATTTAAATTATTCAAATTATTTAAAGAGGCTGCTGGATTTCAATAATTTAAATAATTTAATTCAGGCCAATTAAATTATTTAAATTATTCAGAATATCCAAATTATTTAAAGAGGCCGGTGGGTTTAAATAATTTAAATGTTCTAATTCAGGCCAACCAAATTATTTAAATTATTTTTGTATTTAAATTACAAATGCGCGGAGACCCAGGCCCTGAGCCCGTGTAGCCGGCGGCCTGAATCTTCGGGCTTTTAAATTTTTTAAATAACTCAAATAATTTCATTCAGGCCAAGTAAATTATTTAAATGATTTAATGTATTTAAAGAGGCCGGTGGATTTAAATAATTTACATAATTTAATTCAGGCCATTTAAATTATTTCAATTATGTAAATGATTAAAAGAGGCCGGTGGATTTAAATAATTTAAATCATTCAGGCCAAATAAATTATTCAAATTATTCAAATTTTTTTTAAAATATTTAAATGATTCAAATGCGTGGACATCCAGGTCCTGAGCCCGAGTAGCCGGAGGCCTGAATCCTCGACCTTTTAAAATATTTGATTAATTTAAATAATTTAAATAATCTTAATAATTTAAATAATTACATAATTTAAATAATTTACATAATTTATTTCAGGCCAATTAAATAATTTCAATTACGTAAATTATTCAAAGAGGCGGGTGGATTTACTTAATTTAAATAATTTAATTCAGGCCAATTAAATTATTTAAAACATTACAATTATTTAAATTATTGGAAGTGCCCGGTGGATTTAAATAATTCAAACAGTTTAAGTCAGGCCAATTAAATCATAGAGTTTTTTTAGAGATAAACAGGAAATTAATAAAATTAAAGATTTCAATTGGTGACCAATGAAAGTAGTTCTTTTATCATCGTTTTTTGTCACCTTGCATCATATTTTTTATCATCTTTTATCATCTTTCTGTCATCTGTTATCATCTTTTAATCGGATCCTCATTCGGATCTAGTTTAGAAAGCTTTTTTGTCTTAATCATCGTCTATCGCTATTATCTTTTATCATCTTGTATCATCTTTTATCATCTTCTATTCTATTTTTTGTCATCTTTTATCGTCTTTGCTTTATAATCTTTTATCATATTTTTTGTCGTCTTTATTTTTTCGCAATATTTAACATCTGGTGGTCGCGATGTAATTCCGTTTGTGTCTTCTCATTGTGGGTTTTTTGTTGCTGCAAAGAGTTAAGTCGCTAAACAATTGGTGCTGCTGAACCGCCTTGTTTTGAATATTCAAACGTGAAATCTAAATCAAGACACTCCCTCAATAGTAGAAAACGCATTTCGAGTTTCTATTTGAGAAGGAGAGGGAGAAGGGGAGGCAATGCATCGTCACGGGCATGGAGCTTACAGTGAAACCAGTGTTATATCAACCCGGCGTGCTGTTATCGGCCGCCGGGAAAGCATGGTACTGATATCGGTCCCTGAACACGGTGGTACTGCTATCGGTCCACCGTCTCCCCCCTTCTTGGTTTGTGTATTGTTCTCTCGCCCACTCTACATACGACGCGGTGGTACTGTTATCGGTCCACCGTTGTCTCATTTCTTGTGCATTTATTGCACTACTTCGTTGGCGCTAGGTTAAGACAGCAAGTGAAGCAGATAAACAAACCATGTTCAGCACATTGTTTGCGTATGCTTTCACATTTGTTTAGAACATGTTATTGTTTTTTGCACGTGTCTATGGACAGAAGCAACACCACAGTCATGTAGCGCCATGTGCTCTTGCAATTGCGTTGACGCCGCTGGCATTTGCAGCTTTCTGGTCTTAGGGTAGGTTTGAAAGTCTCAGCTCATTGGGTTTCAGAGACTTGAAGTGTGCCAAAAGCCTTAGAATTCTAAAGCGAAAATTAACGGGTATAAGTTTAGTGTTTGCTTTACTTCTTTCTTGTTTTTGGCTACTTCTACTCGGTGTTTTGCATTCCGTCTTGTATGTAGCAACATCTCTTTAATAATTCATGCAAATTCAAAGCCAGACAAAATCAACACAGGACATATGTTAAACTTAAAGTTTTAATGCTGGTTTGTTTTTTGTATGTTTATAGTTTTAAATACTTCTTATAAACAAAAACCCAAGAAATCCCTACACCATGTGTGTCAAATTTGATTTTTTGTTTTTAGTTTGTTTTTGTTTTTGCTTGCTTTTAATCGGTGTTTTGCGTCATGTTCTAAGTATACTGATTTGCTTTATTTACTTCTACTTCTGATTTCAAGCTCGCAGCAGGTGCAGAATCCGGGCAGTGTCCTCTGTTCTGCATGAGTTCTGTTTCGAAGTACGTATGTTATTCTTTAAGATAAGGCATCACCATGACTGAAGAACAATCCTGGCCCCGACGAAGCTCAGGCATAATAAGTCTATGACATTCTTATTGCGGACGTGTAAAATCCTGCCGCTTAGCGTCATTTCTTGCCTGCAATATGCGCTCATGGCGTTGGGGTGGCGCAGTTTCTGGACCATAGGAAGTGCTTGCGGAGCAGAAGCACTTGAAGCTCGCATTTTTGCTCAGAAGGCGTTGTTGAACCCTTGACTGTGCGGTAAGCTTTCTCGGAGAGAGCCTTGTCTTAGGTCGTAGAAAGCTTCAGCAAAAGCTTCGCATCGACTTGAGGTGCTGGGGCCCCGGCATACTATACAGGTGAATAGCTTCTGGATGGACGACCAGGCCGGCGGAAGCAAGCATTCTGTCACATATGCATACAACCAAATAGACTGACCTTATTGCATGAGCGTGCTAATCAGGGCAGCTTGGCAGGCCGAGCAGTGGCATGAGGAGCTGAAGGAGGACATGTGATCTACAGGTCTCTATCAGTAGCTCGATGCTGAGATCAAACAAACACGCGTGCAGGAAGATGCCGAAGAGGATGTGGAGACAGAGGACTGCGCGTGCTTGTAAGCCTGGCAGTAGTATTGTCATGCAACGTCACTCGTAGGAGCCTGTTATCCCAGAACCGCCATGTCCACCACCTGCGATAGCCTCACTTTCTTTCCTGTCTCGCATTGATAAATAAATCATTACAATCATGCCTCCAAGGTGCGTCGCTCCATCCCCAAGGCCGCCGCCAAGCCGAAGGCCCTCGCCAAGGTACCAGTGCCTCCGAGCAGCTCACAGCTCACAGTATTCAATGTTTCTCTCTTGTAGGTGCATCCTTGCCCGAAGCTCGTGTTGCCGCCAGCAAAGTCCCGTCCACAGCCTGCCTTTAAGTTTGTACGCGTGGAAACGGTCGTTTTTTGTTTGGGTTTGCCACTTTCGCCTAGGCGCCTGCGCCGCGGGTGAGCGCATCGAAAGGGTACAAGCAGGGGTGGGGGGGGACGCAAACCTTACAGACCTTACATAGATCTATAAATATATTCGACCGAGTGTTGTGCTGCAGCACATTCATTTCACCTCGCCGGAAGCCTGCATTTTTTTGAATTTACACGCAAGAAAGGTCGGCCAACTGCTTCTTTGACCTTAAACCCTAAACCCTAAACCCTTATAAACCTTAAACCCTAAACCCTAGACCCGGCTTCTCACGACCTTAAACCTCTTTAAGCCTCGTAAAATCGAACCACGCGAAGTTCATCGAGCATGTGCAATGGCGGATCTTACAGAGTAGTATCCCTCAGGCATGATGTTTTATTAATAGATTTAGCTGGTTGATTTAACGCTCACAGTTGTCCTATGGTTTTCCTTCATGTGTGCCTGTTTTTCGTTGGTTGTATGTGACGTGAATCACTAGCATCCCTCGGGCATACTCTCGTATAAAAAAAGTTAGCTTTCAGGATTTAGGATCTCTCGGGCATGATATTGTATAGAAGAATTTAGCTGGTTTCTGCTGCGCTCCCTGTTTCCTATGTGTGTTATTCGTGTTTGCTTGTGTTTCGTTGATTCTGTTTGACGTGAGTCACGAGAATCCCTCGGGCATGTTCTTGTATAAATAAACTTAGCTTGTAGGGTCTAGGATCTCTCGGGCATGATATAGTATAAACAACTCAGCTTCTTTATGCAAGGCCCACTGCTTTCTTATGTTTTTGTTTCATGTTCGATTGTTTTGTTTTGGTTATATGTGCTGTGAATCACGAGAATCCCTCGGGCATGATCCGATTTAAATAAACTTAGCTTGTAGGGTCTTATATTTTTTTGGAAGGGTTCAATGGGCTCTTGTGTTTTGTCAGGTATCTATAGGTGTTGATTAAAGTTTTCACTCAGGAGGTAATACTCAGGGACCATGTTACTACCTTAAGTTTCAACTCCTGAAAATCAACACCCAAAGCTCCTGAAAGAATCCCTAATATTCAGTATTCTAATACACAAATGACCACTCAATATATGCACATATTTATATTATTTATGTTAAAGGGATAAGAAAATTTTAAGGTTAAATGAACCCTAAAGGCTGCGGGCTCATATATATATATACATAGACATATATTTATACAGATAGATATAGTGTATTTCTTAGGCACGTACTACACCTGTCTTTTCTGGGAGTTCTCAAGAGCTTTTCGGCCGTTGTCGTGTTCTGTGCACCCAGCTGGCAGGCAGGCACTACGACGCGTGTCCTGCGGTGAAGGTGCTTGAGGACCACTTCCTTCCTTGAGACTCCTATACTCTGATGGAGGCTTTAGGACGTTTAGAGTTTAGAGTTTAGGGTTTAGGGTTGTTTCATGGTTACTTGCTGCAGGCTGTTTGACCCCCACAACGTCTTGGTAGCCCAGCGGTGTCCCTTTTTTCCTTTTTTGGTTCAAGTAGACCGAGACCCAATAGTCGTGGTTCCTGGGCTACCAGAAAACACGACGGCGCAAGCCCGCGAACATGTTTGTGCTTGCACACAGCTTCCAGCTGTAGGGTACATGTTGTTGAACACTGCTGGGGAGCATTTGTCCACAAGTTCCCCAGCACTGTAAGGTTCAGGGTTTCGGAGTTTAGGGATTTAGGGTTTTAGGGTTTAGGGCCTAGGGCAACTTGTATTTCACAGCTGGCAGCGGGAGGGGTGCTGCAAGGCGCAGGGGTGCGTGGAAATATGTTTCAGCTGGAGTTTCGAGATCTGCATTTACAGGTCCTTAGCCTCCAAACTCTCCTGCTACCCTAAACCCTAAACTTAGGCCCTAAACCCTAAACCCTATAACCCTATAACCCTAAGCCCAATGCCCTAAACCCTCTAAAACCCTATAACCCTAAGCCCAATGCCCTAAACCCTAAACCCTATATATACCCTAAATAAACCCTAAACCCTAAACCCTAAACCTTAAACCCTAAACCCTAAACCTGTCAAGGACACAGAGACCGGCTGGCCGGGCAAATGCCTGGGCTTGAAGAAGGCATGGGGTCGGCTGTTACGCGCGACTTACAGGCTTTTAAGTAGGGAACTTAGGGTTTGGGGTTTAGGGCTTAGGGGTTTAGGTAGGGTTTAGGGTTTAGGGTTTAGGGTTTAGGGTTTAGGGTTTAGGGTTTAGGGTTTCGGGTTTCGGGTTTCGGGTTGCGGGTTTGGGAACTTCTGGCTGGTTCTTAGTAGGGAATGAGGGAATGAGGGCCCTATATGTACCCTGCAAGGGATTATATGGGACCCTCATTCCCTCATGCCCTACCCAGAACCAGGGGAACATAGGAACTCCGACACAATCCCTTCAACGAGTACGGGGAAGGCGGGAGCCCAAGGGGTTTGGGGTTTTAGAGTCTGGTTGTTAAGTAGGAAACTTACTATGACATGCTTGAGAACCCTCCAATAAATAGCTGTTGTCTTCCTGTTAAGGGCAATATAGGGACCCTATAGGGATTCCAATTCTTATGATTTGGGGGCTTCTTACGCAAATAGTAGCTTTGGTACTCCTACACAATCCCTTCTTGGGCGAGTCAGGTGGAGGCAGAAGCCCAAGGGGTTTTGGGGGTTTTCGGTTGAAAGTTTAGGGTATTCTTTGTAGCCCAGTGGTACCCTTTTGCCTTTGGTTAGTTCAAGGTTCTATTGTATTATGGTTACTGGGCTACCAAGCAGTTCGTCGCCCGTAAGCCCTAAACCCTGCACCCGAAACCCTAAGCCCTAAACCCCAAACCCTAAACCCTAAACCCTGAGCCAATGTCTCAACCTGCAACATGCCTGGCAGGTTGTCGTCCCTTATGGAGAGACCTGCGCCTTGTCCGGTCAGGGATTAAAAACCTCCGTCCTAGGCGCAGGTATTCATTAATTATAGGGTTTAGGGTTTAGGGTTTAGGGTTTACGGTTTGGGGGTCGGGATAGTTACGAATAATACTCCCGATGGTCCTTTTTGTACTTATACTATAACAGCCCCCTAAACCCTATTCTAGTTCTTCAGACCCCTATCTTAGACGGGTGGGAGGGTTCTGGATGTTGGTTTGAGGTTGTTTGGTTTAGGGTTGGGATGTTCCGGGATTAGAATAGTGGGTACTGCATTCCCTTTTAAGGACTGCTAGTATTTGGGGGAACATCCCGGTTTGGGGTTTATTGGCCCCTGGCCTCAGGCTGCTGATGCGTTGACTCCTAAGGGATCCAGATATAGGGGGGGGGGGGAGGGGGTTTAGGTTTTTTTTTTTTTATGAGCAGTGGCGTGAGAGGCTTGTCGCCACATGCAGGTTCAAAGTATCTAGCTTGGGATGTTCCCCCTTGTACTTACTAACAGTCCTTAATAGGGATTCTAATAGGGGGATACTACAATTTTATTTAGGACTTTTTTTTGCGCGGGGGAACATCCTGGTATCTAGCTGCCGCTGGACTTGGCAAGCTCTGAGGCTGCAGTTCGACAACCCTCACGTCTGACATCGCCCTGAATCCTAAGCCCTAAACCATTCGGCAGTTCCCAAGACAGGGGTACCGCATACATACCCCAAAACGTCCTTGCTTCAGGAGCCGACACTTCGTGGTGCTTTGCTGTAACTTTAGGTTCTTAGCTTTTTTGGGTTTATTGGGTTTCCTAGTAAGGCAGCTAAAATATCAGTTTATAGCTACCCTCCTAAGTGCAGCCAAGAACAGGCACCCCTCTTTTGGTAGCTTCTAGCCCCTGCAAAACCCAAACCCCAACCCTGGTTTTGGTAGCTTCGGGCCCTTTAAACCCTCACCTTGGGATATTCCCCCTTATCCCCGATTATAATCCCCTTGTTAAGGACTGTTGTATAAGGGGGAACATCCCAACCTACACCCTAAACCCTATAAACCCTAAACCCTAAACCCTAAACCCTCAACCCTAAGCCCTAAACCCTAAACCCTAAACCCTAAACCCTAAACCCTAAACCCTAAACCCTAAACCCTAAACCCTAAACCCTAACCCTAAACCCTAAACCCTAAACCCTAAACCCTAAACCCTAAACCCTAAACCCTAAACCCTAAACCCTAAACCCTAAACCAATCCAGGCGAGGGCTGGTGCACCAAGCAGGTGTCCTGCTCGGTGTGGCAGGAGACGCTGGCCCCTGTGGTGTGGCGTTGGGTGCTTTTTGGTGGGACCATCAACTTGGATTTAGGGTTTAGGTTCTAGGGTTTAGGGTTTAGGGCTTAGGGCTTAGGGCTTAGGATTTAGGGTTTAGGGTTGTTCCCCCCTTATACTAACAGTCCTTAGAAGGGATACTAGTACCCCTTATTCTAATCCCGTTTAAGGGCTGCTAGTATAAGGGGGAACAACCCTAAACCCTACACCTCGAAAACCCAAACAGCCCCCTCCCAACCCGAAATCAAGCAGCCAAGTCGCCTGAACCTTTGTCCTATCCCTCTCCGCGCGCGTCCCTCAAGCCCTTCAGCCCCCAAATCCCCAGCAAACCCCCTTTCAGCCTCTGAAGCGCTGAACCTTCAACCTCTTCAACCTCATGTCCCGCGAAGACACCGAAAACCCGCTCCCTAAACCCTAGACCCTAAACCCTAAACCCTAAATCCTAAACCCTACAGTAACCCTAGGCCTAGACCCCTAGAACCCTATAAACCCTGTTCCAGGAGATCAAGGCCCCGAATCCTTACAAGCCAAATCTGTGCTTCCACACCTTTTGGAGCCCGGCCCTTGGCTGCGGCTCTCGAGGTTTGGGGGTTTAGGGGTTTAGGGGTTTAGGGGTTTAGGGGTTTAGGGGTTTAGGGGTTTAGGGGTTTAGGGGTTTAGGGGTTTAGGGGTTTAGGGGTTTAGGGGTTTAGGGGTTTAGGCTTTAGGTCTTACGGGGTTTGAATCTAGGTCTTGGGCCTTGGGTTCAGAGGCTTTTGGCCTTAGGGTGTATAGGAGATAGGGTTTGTAGGGCTTAAATTAGGCTTGTATGGTATGTATGGTTTAAATATCGGGTCTTGGGTTTATGGGGTTTTAGGGTTTATAGGGGTTGTAAGACTTTGAGACCATTGAAGGACTTCCATTTGGGGTTCTGGCACGCACACCCCTGGAGCGTTGACTTTGTGTGCCTTACATCACGTTAAGTTCTTCAAGCTCTGATCCCTGCTCGAATCCCAGTACAGCACCTGCATCCTTGGTAGAAAGATACCAGAAGGGACAGCAGAAGGGATTCTGGCCGTTTTTTTTCGTGGAAAGACGAGTTTATTGAGTGTGTTGCGTGAGGGCCCCTACGTGTAAGTAGAGTTATAGTCTTAAACCTGAAACCCTACACCCAGAGTGGCTCCAAGTTGCGGGAAAAGTTCTATAGCTCCGGTCCCCCGACGTCTCCCTAAACCCAAACCCTAATGGCGGTAGACGCCTGCAATGCCCAAAATTCCCCGAAAACCTCCAGGCCCTAAACCATAAACCATAACCCCTAACCCTAAACCCTACTCCGATCCTGAACCCTGAACCCTTTTATGCAAGAGTAACCCACCAGGCTCTGGCGTGAGCTGCTACACCCGGACTTTGGCCAATGGCACGCAGGACTTCAGATTCAAGCCGACGAGGCTTTGGGGTTTGGGGTTTAGGGTTTAGGGTTTAGGGTTCAGGGTTTAGGGTTTAGGGTTTGTGGTAGTGAGGGCCCCCTTTACTTGGAGGTTCAGGGGGAAGTATAAGTAGGGTTATAAGTACCCTAAACAGGGTTATAATTATAAGTATAGTTGCCATACTTGTAAATCTCTAGATCTTAAACTCTAAAGCCTACCTATAGCTACCCATGAACCTCCAAATACCACCCCCCCTTGCAGGAACCTTGGGGCGGGGTATGCGGAATGTAGAAGGTGGGGGTGGGAGGGAGGGAGGGAGGGTTTAGGGTTTAGGGTCATGTTTGTGGGTTCTTCAGAACATCGGCAGGCGCATGTCCTGAACCCCCGATTCGGGGTCCTCTAGGCCCCCCTCGCCCCCAACGCACGGCACACCCAGACCCGAAACCCTAAACCCTAAGCCCCTTTTTTGGGAGGATTCGGGGCCTATAGGGTTTAGGGTTTAGGATTTAGGGTTTAGGGTTTAGGGTTTAGGGTTCGAGGCCTTTGCCCTGCAACCCTAGCCTCTGAGCCAGCCTGGCCCAAGGGCGCAGCGCATCATGCGCGGCGAGGCCGCCCCTGAAGTCCTAGGGACCTGGGAGGATTTAGGGCCTATAGGGTTTGGGGTTAGGGTTTAGGGTTTAGGGTTTGCGGTTGGGGGTGTGGTTTCGGGGGGGGGGGGGGGGGGGGGGGGCAGGGCGGAGGCGACGTAAGGGGCTCAGGGTTTACAGGGTTTAGAGTAGAACTCTAGTTCAGGCATCCCCAAACCCTAAAATCCTCAGGCCTTGGGTTTAGGTTTTACGATTTAGGGCTCACGTAAATCAAAACCCAGAGCCCTAAACTCCAAGCCCCTTTGGCCCCTTTGGTGTTCGAAGGAGGAGTGGGTTAAGGGCCTCTACAGCTCCTATGCCTCCTGGAGTCCTTACATTCAGGAATGTTAGATTGTGTTCTTATACACCTACCCCACCCACCCACCCGCCGGAACGTAAAATCTTACCAACCCAACCTGAAAAAGCTGCGAATCAACCCTAAACCCTAAGCCCTAAACCCTAAACCCTAAACGCTAAACCCCGCAGGGTTGGTATGGTGACCAGCCCGCGCAATCCTGCACTTAGTTAGTCATAGGCTCTGTTTCCCCTTTACCCAAAAACCCTAAGGCCCTAAACCTAAACCCTAAACCGCCTAAACCCTACCGCCTAAACCCTAAACCCTAAACCCTAAACCCTAAACCCTAAACCCTAAACCCTAAACCTAAACCCTAAACCCTAAACCAATTTCCCTAAACCAATTTCCCTAAACACGAAGAACCCTGAGACTCACCATTCAAGGGCGCTGAGCACCGAGAATCTCAACGCCTACGCGGAACGCAAAGCCCTGCTTGAATGTCTCCGCAAGTGCAAGGGATGTTGAGGGTACTACAAGAGCCCGCATAACTTCAGACATCCGCCCCTGGTAATTGCAAATACAGTACAAAATTGCATTATCCAAAATGCCTTGTCAGATTCATTAGAAAGGCTCCTGCATTGCGGATATTTTTGGTTGAAGGGGGGGAGGGGGCCTGCGCCCATCTGGGTACTTCCCTAGACCTGCCCCAAATAGACACCAAAGTCCCGGTACAGGTCCGGGTGCTGAAGAAGATTGCTTTTGCACGGCCCCCGGGCGGACCCTAAACCCTAAACCCTAATCCCTAAACCCTCTGAGCATGTAGGGTTTCGGGTTTTGGGCTCCGGGCTTATGTTTGGGGTGCAGGCTTTTCAGGGCTGCACTGCAAGTCATTGCAAGTCACCCTAAACCCTAAAACCCGAAACCCTTGGAGCTGGTTGCAGTGACCGATATCTCCAGGCTGCAAACTGAGGCTGAGGCGCCACGCCTTTCTTAGCCTTGGCATGCGACTCTCCGGTCGGAAAACAGATATAGACCAGATCATGTAAAATGGGTATTTCCCGAAATAGGGGTTCCCATTTTATACCTCAAAATAGAATAGAATCCCTTTACAGGGGCCCCTAACAGGGTACAGTACCCCTACTTTCGGAAACCCCCAATTAGCAAGATCATGAGATATCGCCGAGTGCCATGCAATGTCGTTTTGATGTAGCGCAATGTACTTAGTGTCGCCGATGTTGCCGTTGCCTGGCAAGGAAGTCAGTGATTATGTAACAGAATCCTCGCCTGCATGCAGATTGCCGGAGGATATTGCATGAGCCACTGTTCCACTTCGATTCCACGATCGCATCCGGCCAATCACCACCTGAACATGACAGGGCCTGGAAGCCCCCCCCCCCCCCCCCCCCCCCCCGAACTGCCACCCCGTACACCCTAAGCCCTTGAAGCCTTCATTTCCTCTGCCCGGAATTCGCAGGGAGACAGCCTCATCTTTGGGGTTCTCCTCATCTTTGGGGTTCTCCCGGTTAGGTTTTCACCTTGGATTCAAACGCCTTGTTGTCCCGTCGTCAATGGCCAAGCCCTTGTCATGTTTCTCAGGTGACTTTAGAAGACTAAGCAGCAGGGAAGAAGGCACACTGATTCTGTTGGGGCTTAGTATTCGTTAAGGGTCCAGAATTTTGGGTTAACGGCGGTAATTGGATTAAGCTTTTCCTGTCTGAGGCTGAGATCGATGGGTTGAAGAACGTCTTCGATGAGAACTATTTCGCCAAGGTGCAGGAGACCTCTCCGAAATGCCATGGGGTCTAGGGTTCAGGGTTTAGGGTGCAAGGTTTAGGATGGAGGGTGTATGCCAAGATGTCATTGAGAAAGAACGGATGGATGTGTATCCTAGCCTCCTTATCAAACACCTAAGGCCCCTTTATAAAGACCCCTAAACCCTATTCTAATTCTTCAGGCCCCCTATCCCTAAACCCTAAACCCTAAACCCTAAACCCTAAACCCTAAACCCTAAACCCTAAACCCTAAACCCTAGACCCTAAACCCTAAACCCCAAACCCTAGACACTACTCTAATTCTAGCAGCCCCTACGTAGGTTTTCCCAACACTGTGAGGATGCTGCACAAGCGTGCCGCATGGTGTGCTACTCCGACCTCGGATGCCAGCAGCGGCCTTGGTCAGTTAGGGGTTCAGGGTTTAGGGTTTAGGGTTTAGGGTTTAGGGTTTAGGGTTTAGGGTTTAGGGTTTAGGGTTTAGGGTTTAGGGTTTAGGGGTTTACATGGGCACCCTGCCACGCTGCCACACAAACCTCCTCGGGAGGTCTTCCTCTTCAAATTTCTCCGACTCTGCCCAAAGCCCTCAAACAAAAGCCTGTGCGTAGGGCATGTACAGGCACGCCACGAGGCCTTAGCCCAAGTTCGAGCAACCCCCGGGTGCAGTTGAGGAGCCTTTTGACAAGTCCTACTCCCGAAACCCTAAAGTTTGAAGCCTGAACCATCTCACCTTTTGTTGGTTTAAGGGGTTGAGGGTTCGGGGCTTGAGGGATTGAGGTTTGGGGTTTAGGTTTAGGGTTTAGGGTTTAGGGTTTAGGGTTTAGAGTTTAGGGTTTAGGATTTAGGCAGGGTTTAGGGTTTCAGGTTTCAGGGTTTGGGGTTTGGGGTTTCAGGGTTTCAGGGTTTGGGGTTTCAGGCTTTGAGGTTTAGGGTTTAGGTCATAAAGCCCCAATCTTAAGGCCGAAAGCCTCACCCCCTTCGCCCCTGGCATTGAGTGAGCAAGTGAACAGATGCACTGAGCCAGGTGGTGGTACTACAGCAACGTGAAGGGCCATGGCCACAGATCTGCGTGAGTTTGGGGTTTGTGGCTTGGATCTGTATAAGGGGTTCAGATTCTAGACCCTGAAACCTAAATCCTAGTCGGTGTCCTTCGATGTTGAGCCACTCCACCCTGAAGTACCAGGCAAATCTCCTGAACCGTATGTAGATTCAGAGGATGGGGTTCATGCTGTTAGGGTTTAAAGCCTATGGGATTTGAGTAGGTCTTGGTGCATGCGAAGCGTTAAGGCTCTGAGGGTTTGGAGGGGATCCGGGCTGTCTGTCCCAAGCCCTATGTAACCCCAACCCTAAACCCTAAATCCTAAACCCTAAACCCTTATCCCTACACGCTGTCCTACATTCATTGTCATCCGGTGTAATGGTTCCTGGGCGAGGGGCTCTGATGCGAAAGCTTCAGGGCCCATCTCTTTGGCGTTTCGGGGGCAGTTTGGGGTGTCGGGTTTCGGGTTCATGTAGGGTTTAGGGTTTAGGGTTTGGGGTTTGGGGTTTAGGGTTTGGGGTTTGGGGTTTGGGGTTTAGGGTCTAGGGCTGTCTTGGAGCAAAGGATCCCTTGCGGCAGTCTTACGCCCTCCGGCACAAGGCTGCTTCGTGGAGGACATCTCCTACAAAGCCATGCCGGCCCCGCCCCCAGAAGCGGAATTCGCGAGCGCAGGGAGGAGATGCCAACAGGCTTTGCCGGTCTGGGTTAGGAACTGATGACTCTATGGGATGTGTAGGAATTTCCGCGGGCTTCAGGGAGACAGGTTAGGGGGCTTTACACATCCAAGTTAGTGGATTTCCGCGCGTTTTACAAACCGCCATAGACCTCCAAGTTAGTGGTTTAGGGTTGAGGGTTGAGGGTTTGGGGCTTGGGGTTGAGGGTGGCTCGCATCTGAGCGCTTCGCTCCCGAGCGCGCTCCTTTCAAGCACTTCAAGGCGACTCGTAGCCCTGTCCTTCGCAAGCCCATGGCGTCCTCAGATGTGGAGGTGGAGCTGCTTGTGGAGGAGCCTACACCCTGCACCCTAAACCCTAAACAGCGACCCTGGTCCCCTCTATGGTTTTGCGGTTCTCCCCCGTTTCGGGGTACCAGCAAGACCTTCGCGATCAGCATTGGAGGTTCTAGGCTTCAGGCGAACCCCCACCTGCCTCATCTCCGTGGCTATCATCACTTTTGAAAACCACTAACCCTAAACCCTAAACCCGAAACCCTAAACCCTAAACCCTAAACCGAAGTCCAAAAGTGACGACAGTGACATTTACGAGGATGGCGCATCCCACCTGCCTAATCCTCGCTTTCTGCGTTTTGAGGCAACCATAGTCCAAAAGTGATGACAGTTCCGGGGCGCACCTGAGGGGTCTCATCCTCGTGACATTCAGCACGTTTTAAGCCGCAAAGACGATGCCAAAACGCTGGGCTTCCGCAACTACAGCTTCCGACACTCGCGGCCGCTTTCGGACGCTTTCATTTCGAACGCTGTGCGAACGCCTTCAAACACAAAATGCACGATGTCGGGAAACCTCCTGAGACCTTGGAACCCCAACTCTTCAGTACCCTAGAGCCCTAGAGCCTCACATCTTAGCAATGTCCAAGAAATCAGAAATCAACCTATGTTGCAACAGATTGTCAGTCAACCCAAGCCCTCTGCAATCTCCCTCGACCCTAGACCCCAAGCCCTAAACCCTAAACCCAAAACCTAAACCCGAAACCCTAAACCCTCTATAAGCCTTAGCAGTGAGAGGAGCAGGAGCGCCCTCAGCTGGGCTCCTTCCCCCGCCGTGCAGCTTCCTGGCGAGAGCAAGTGGGGTTTAGGGCTAGGGTTTAGGGTTTATAGGGTTTAGGGTTTGGGGTTTTGGGGTTTAGGGTTTACGGGTTTAAGTCTTTTAGGGCGCTAAAGATCCCCAACACCTAGCTCCCAAGATGCAACTCCACTCCACGATCCAAAAGCCGCAAACTGCCGGACTTAGAGCCCGAAACCCATCCAAACCCTGCAAGCCATCCACTCTGCAAACCCAGAAAGCCCTTGAAAACTATGCACCTAGTAAAGCCCTAAACCTTGAACCCTAAACCTTAAACCCTTAACCCTAAACCCTAAACCCTTCAACGCTTCCAAGGCCCTAGTTTTAGGCGTGGTGGGCCTCGTGGGCGTCGGCCTACTCGCAGCACGTGGCGTCCCGAACCAGCTGAGGCCCCCGCGCCTTTCAGGGCTTAGGGTTTTGGGGTCTAGGGTTTAGGGCTTATAGGGTTTTAAGTTTCGGATTTAAGGGTGTAGAGGCTTCGTAAGTCTGAGGGTTTTGTGGTGCGAAGCGGTTTGGGTTGTTCATGGTTTTTCCAGGCTAGAGGACTTAATTAAGAGTCTGGGGGCCCCTCAACCCTAGGACCACCTTGTGGGGTTTTGGGCTTAGGGTAACAGCCAGGAATAAGCCTTTTTTGTACAGCGTTGAGCACCAAAAATCTATTGTCGTTTTGCCGGCCTTGAAACCCCATGGTAGGAGACCACAGGTTTCGGGTTTAGGGTTTAGGGTTCACGGTTTAGGGTTTATAGGGTTCTTTGCAACAGCAACCTACGAAATCGGTAGGACTGAGTTTGCGCTGAGCTCTCAGCCGTGGAAATGCTACAATTGCTGGCGAGCTCCCCCTGAGCCCCTGCATTGAGGGAGCGCTTGCAGGGCATGGACTTCTGAGTTTTCCGGCTGGGATGGGGGGCCCTAAACCCTCATCCCTAAACCCTAAACCCTAAACCCTAAACCCTAAACCCTAAACCCTAAACCCTAAACCCTAAACCCTAAACGGGGTCAAAGGCAACAAGCAAAAGGTGGATGAGTGTGCAGAGGCCCCACGTCCACAAAGCCCCAGAAGTCCGAATTCCGTACACCCTCTTGAGGCCTAAACCCTAAAAACCTAAAACCCTAAACCCTAAACCCTAAACCCTAAACCCTAAACCCTAAACCCTAAACCTAAAACCCCTGGAGGCCAAAAACCCCCAAGCCGCCTCAAGCCCAAACCAAACCGCCAAGTAAGGGATCCGAAGTATGGGCCTTATTGTGTATAGTGTAGACAGGGGTTACGTCACAGAGGACCCAAATTAAGGGCCCATACTTCGGACTCTAGACTCCTGTGTGGTGCTTTACTGTAACTTTAGATCCTTAGCGTTTTTTGGTTTATTGGGTTTCCTACTAAGGCAGCTAAAATTTTCTTCTCATTCATAGCCACCCTCCTAAGTGCAGCCAAGACTCACGCCTCGCCAGGAAGAGTGGCGTCGGTGCGTTTGTCGGTCTGTCGCAGGAGGGATCGTGGTTGCTTCAGGGTTTAGAGTTTAGGGTTTAGGGGTTAAGGCTCATAGGGTTTAGTGCTGAGGGTTGTTTAAGGCTTAGGGCTCTGCAGGTTTTTACTAGATGGCCAGCTCTCTATCGTCGATATTTGTGTGTTGGGAGCATGATCGTCTGATCCTACGGCAGCCCATACATGGTGTTCCAAAGAGACCAGAAGTTAGCAAATTGAACCCCTAAACCCTAAGCTGCCCTAAACCCTAAGCCCTAAGCCCTAAACCCTAAAACCTAAACCCTAAACCATATTTTTCCGTTCAGGTTAAAAGGGGTCAGGGGCATGCGCGAAAGGCCTGCCATCCGAAGTTACACAAGTAGTTTGGCACCGTGCTCCAAGGACGTACTATAGCGGAGTTATAGGGGTCGGAATAATTACGAATAGTATTCTTATCGTCCCTGTAATTTTTTTCTAGAATATCCCCCAAAACCCTATTTTAATTATTCAGGCCCGTATCTTAGACCTCGGCTTCGTGACTCAGAACGCCCTGGGCTGGTAAAGCTCTGAAGTTAGGATTCTGGCGCTCAGGGTATTAGAGAGACGACATTTCATGACGTAGGGCGCGTCGGCTTTTGGACGGACTTCTAGCGCTGTTACCAGGGCCTCAGCCTTCACAGAGAGCTTGAGAAGCCCTACACCCTAAACCCTAAACCCTATAAACTATATAAACCCTAAACCCTTAAGGCTCCACAACCCCTGGATGACAGGACTGCTTTGAGTACGGGATGTTCTACGCCAATCCGCACAAGATGATGGGTACGGATCGCACCAGGGAGCCAAATGCGGACGCCTGCCAGTCCCGCTGCGCTCGCACCCCAGGCCCGGGAGTTTCGGGCTGCATCCTCGTGGTTTAGGGTTTAGGGTTTAGGGTTTAGGGTTTAGGGCTTAGGGTCTAGGGTTCACCTGAAGCTAAACCCTAAACCCTAAACCCTAAACCCTAAACCCGTTAGTCAACCGCCCAAACCCTAAACCAGGCTGCGCGCACTTCAGCTACTGGCCAGATAGCGGCTGCCTTTTGCAAGCTGTTGAGAAACGCTCTTCTTTTAAGGTTTGTCGCCCAGTGATGAGCCCGAATTATGCGACCTCAAAGTTGAGCCCTTTAACGCTTTTCGGGCCCTAAAAGGCATAGTTTCAAGGCCACATACAGGGTTAGGGTTTGGGGGCCACTAGGCCCCCCCCCCCCATAAACCTTAAACACATACAAGCCCTACAAGTCAAACAAAGCCCTTAAAAAAACTATACAAGACTCAAAAACCTTCCCAACAAACCCGCTAGAGCTTCGAGAAAGCCTTCCTTACAGCCCTAAGCCCTAAGCCCGAAGCCCTCAACCCTAAACCCCAAACCCTAAACCCTAGAAACTAGAAACCCTAAACCCTAAACCCTAAACCCTAAACAATAAACTCTACAGCCTTATAAGGCATGCTCACGGGCCCGGAGTCCACCGCCAAGTCAGCGCCCCCCAAGTTCTCGGCCACGGTGTCGGGTCCGCCCTTCTGTGGAGGCCTCGATGGTTCGGGTTTAGGGTTTAGGGTTTAGGGTTTAGGGTTTAGGGTTTAGGGTTTAGGGTTTAGGGTTAGGTTTAGGGTTTAGGGTTTAGGGTTTAGGGTTTAGGGTTTAGGGTTTAGGGTTTAGGGTTTAGGGTTTAGGGTTTAGGGTTTAGGGTTTAGGGTTTAGGGTTCTTAGTGAGGAATGGGGTAATGAGGTACCCTCTATAATCCCTTAAAGGGTAAGGGGGGATACAGGGTACCTCATGCCCTCATTCCCCGCAAAGAACCAGCCAGTCTCTGGATGAGTGAGCTGGGGAGGTGTAATATAAGGGTCGGAATGATTACTTATAGTACGTTTTGAATCTGAAGGCCTTCGGGTCTAGGGTTGAGCCCTAAACCTTAAACCCTAAACCCTAAGCCCTAAACCCTAAACCCTTGAGGACTTGGGTTTGGGTTCAGGGTGGCAGTCGTCTGGCTGGGAGCAAACATCCTGCTAACGCAAACAATGGACACTAACTTAGAGCAACCAACCCCCGCCCCAAATGAGCTAACATAAAGGACGTTTGTGCCAAATACCCCTCACACCCTAAATCGGCCGTGTGTATGGAGGTCTAAAAAACCCCTGAACCCTAAAGGCACTCCTAGTCCTAGTAGTAGAGTAGATAACCCTTAACCTTTTTGGGGTAGTACAATCCCCTTATAATCCCAAAGGTTAACCTTTAATTCCCCCAGGTTACTGGACAACTAGTACCCCTAAACCCTAAACCCTAAACCCTAAACCCTGAACCCTGAACCCTGAACCCTGAACCCTAAAGGCACTCCTAGTAACCACGACATAGCCAAAGCCAGTGAAAACCGCATGACTCCTGACTCCAGAGAGACTTGGGACTTGGGGCTTCAGGGGTTTAGGGTTTAGGGTTTAGGGTTTTCGGATGTCTTCGGGTTTCAGGCGTTTTCGAGTTTGATTGGCCTTTTTGGCTCAGGGCTTTAGGGCGTTTGGGACTTCAGGATGTTCTAGATTTCGAGTGCTGTAGCGTCCCTAGGGCTTTAAGGATTCAATGTTGCAAGGTAGAACGTGGGGATTCTATCATCTTCCTGTAAAGCTTCTGACAGATTGTGGCGGCCATGCTGTCCGTTCGGATGATGGCTACCGGCCAAGAGGTGGCTCGAGTCGGGATGGAGGAGCTGCATCTGCAGACTGGCGAGCGCAACGGGACCCCTCATGTTCTGGCTTTGAAGCGGTACCTCCACACGATCTGCGGCGTGCCCCGCTTTCGACAATGACTCCTGGACCAGGACGGGCATGTGCTGTCTGATGGTTTCCGAATCACAGCGCCCAGCTCCGCGCGTTTAGTCCTGTTGGATTTTGCAGTGCCTGGTTTCGACCATTTTGCAATGTCGAAGCAAGCTATACGACAGAACGACGTAGGGCAAATGGAGGCAATCCTGCAGAAACCGCAGGATCCCAATTTGATGATTGAGGGTCGGCCAGCCTTGCACTTTGCAGTAGAAGCTGGCCACAGAACGGCTGCACAGCTCTGGCTTGAGGCCGGCGCGGATGTAAACCATGCTGATATGCCAAATGGGACTACGGCTCTTCTGCTGGCCGCGAGAAGTGGCAACGTGTCTGTGCCGCGTTTGCTGCTGGACTGGGGCGCGGACAAGGACAAAGCTGCGACAGATGGATCAACGCCTCTTATCGTGGCAGCGTCCGCCGGACATTTGGAAGTGACACGCTTGCTGCTGGGCTCCGGCGCGGACAAGAACAAGACCGGGAGAGGCGGCTATACTATCTTCACCAGGCAGTGTCATGTGGACGCGTGGAAGTGGTGCGCTTGTTGCTGGACTCCGGCGCAGACATGGACAAAGCCGGGCGAAGCGGATTTACGCCTCTGATCATGGCAGCGTGCTGCGGACAGTTGGAAGTGACACGGTTGTTGCTGAGCTTCGGCGCGAACAAGGACAAAGCCGGGACACATGGAGCAACGGCTCTCATGATGGCAGCTGCCGCAGTTACACGTTTGTTGCTGGATTCTGGCATGGACAAAGACAAAGCCATGCCAAATGGAGTCACGGCCCTTGTTATAGCAAACCATCAAGAGCACCTGGAAGTGGCCCGTTTGTTGCTTGCCACCAAGGACCCAGCCAAGGCTAAGTCCAAGGCTAAGGCCAAGTCCAAGGCCAAGGCCAAGGCCAAGGCCAAGGTTAAGGCCAAGGCCAAGGCGGTCCTCAAGAGGCCTGGCAAGAATAGAGTCGCAGAACTGCACTCTGTGCAGCATAGCTACCAGACCCAAAAACAATTGGAAAAGGCTCGCAGGGTGAACTTGGAGGTTCACAGGTACATATCACCCCAACCATAAGTCGACTCATAACCTACTTAGAGGACTTAGGGGGCGTATCGGTACAGATATAATTGGGGTTATAAGTACCCTGAACCTCCAAGCAGGGTGTAGGGTTTAGGGACTGTTCAGGGTTTACTGGTTTAATTTAGGCTTTAGGGTGCTGAATGTATATTTTAATCTGTTTTCGCCCCCAGACTGGTGGAGTGTGACACCGCCAGGGACCGCTGCAGGAAGGTCTCAGAGCTAGGCTTTAGAGTTTAGGGTATAGGCCTGTGCACGCATCAGAACCTGTTCACGCTCAATTGTGGGCTCAGACCGACACAAAGTCGCAAACCATCAGGAGGTGTCGCACCACGTGAGGAGTATTGTGCCCCAGACCCTCAAGCAAGGCCCTCACAGCTTGGGTTCGGGTTCTTTAGGTGATTTGGCTTAGCGGTAGGGATTCTCCGGCCTGAACCCCCAGACTCCAAGAACTTTCGAGGTTGGCGTCAGAATGGGTTTTAGTGTTTAGGGTTTAGGGTTTAGGGCTAGGGTTTAGGGTTTAGGGTTTAGGGGGTAGAGCAAAGGCGAAATTCGTGCTTTCAGGAAAGGAAGAGGCAGAGGGGCGTTGTCCAGAATTTGGTGTTCTTCTTGCTGTAAGGAGGCCTGACTGATGGCTCCTTTTGGGGCCTATACGGTTAAACCCTAAACCCTAAACCCTAATCCCTAAACCCGAAACCTACACATGAAGGGACCCCAGACGTGTTTCGGCATGGGATCGAGCTTGAGATTTCGGACTTCAAGGGTCCGAGGGAACCCCAAGGAGCAACTCTTTTCCCTCTTTGCGCCAAAGCTTCAGGAGACGGACGCTGTTCCGAATAAGAGGCCCTTTCAGGTACCGAACTACACTACAAAAGAATATCACGAGTCGCCGCAGAAGGGTGTCTGAATAGGGACCCCCAAAGCCAGCGCCAGGCGACGCAGGCGCCGACACAAGTGTCGACGTGGGCGGCGCCACCGGCGGCAGCGATGGCACGGGCGGTGTTCTGACTGGGGGCGCAGGCCCTAAGCCCTAAACCCTAAAACCTAAGTCCTAAACCTAAACCCTAACCCGAAAACCAAGCCCTAAACCCCAAACCCCAAACCCCAAACCCCAAACCCTAAACCCTAAACCCTAAACCCTAAACCCTAAACCCTGAACCCTGAACCCTGAACCCTGAACCCTGAACCCTGAACCCTGAAACCTGAACCCTGAATCCTGAACCCTGAACCCTGAACCCTGAACCCTGAACCCTGAACCCTAAACCCTAAACCCTAAACCCCAAGCCAGGCTTCAACGGCCTCAGCTCGGGCCTCGTGACCACCGACTCGGGGAACCTGGGTGCGGGGCCTGCGGCCCCGGGCGCCCTGCCGGAACCTTGGGGAGCAAGTGACCCCCAAAATGGCGGTCATAGGGTTTAGGGTTTAGGGTTCAGGGTTTAGGTCTAGGGTTTCGGGTTTAGGGTTTAGGGTTTAGGGTTTAGGGTTTAGGATTCCTACTGTAATTCCTCCTAAGGCATATGAACCATAGACCCTTTCAGGGCTCCTGTCGTCCCCAAGGAAGTGCAGGTGGAGGATAACAATCTGCCCACTGTGGCGCCGGTCAAGCCGATCAAGATCGCCCCGCCCCAAATGGGGGCCTCTTCATACCACGTGGGCGTCAACGGCACCATGTGCTCCAAGTACCTTGGGGACGACATGAACTTCAAAATTGAGGGCATATACCCTGTCAAGGTAACATGGACCCCAAACCCTTTTGGGGCTTTAATCCGTATTACGTAATGTAACATGAACCCTAAACCCTTTTAGGGCTATAATTCTTATTAATGTAGCATGAACCCTAAACCCTTTTAAGGGCTCATATGTCGTCCCCCAAGGTACCCCGCCTGCGTTTGGGCCGGGGTCAAGGAAGGGGACTGCTGCCCCACCGCTCGCCACGTGACCCTGGGATGCTGCCATGGCCTCAAGCTACTTCGTAGCTGAATGAGTACGCTTTATACACCTTTTTGGGGAGGCTACAAATTCCTATAGACTATAATCCCCTATAGAACTGAAGGTGTACATTTTGTTTGGGGGTGGGGGGGGGTTATGGGCTCAGCAACTGAGGCTACCCGGCTCCGCCGTGTTGCCCCCGACGGTGCCTCCTGTTGAGATCGTTGAGCCCAAGGCGGTTACGCCTGAGATGGTGGCGCCCGCGGCGGCAGGATCTGAGTGCCTTGGAGACCAAATGAGCCCTAAAAGGGTTTAGGGTCCCATGTCACCTTTCTTAGGAGTAATAGTAGTATAGGGGGTAGCGTCTAGGGTTTAGGGCCCCATGTTACCTCAATAGGAATTCTAGCAGTATGGGGAAGATGCTCCCCCAAGCTTAAGGTTCATGTCTTCCCTAAGGTGCTCAGCCTTCCCAGCCTGCATGAAGTTGGGCTTGACTGGCTCCTGCTGCCCTGCACCCAACGGCGCTAAGCTGGGGTGCTGCGACGACTAAAGCGCGCGCGGGGGCTTAGAGAGAGAGAGATTTGCTGAGAAGGAACGGCTGCAATGCCAGCCCATAAAGGCGCTTTTGGCTCGATGTGTAGGCACACGCTCTGTGTGCTCCGATACTAGGTAGCCCCTTGGGATCTTTTAGTGATTTCCCCCTTATTTGGGTTTAAGAGGATCATACTTAGGAATATCCCTAAACCCTAAACCCTAAACCCTAACCCTGTGCACAGGAATATTGTTCAGAGTGGATTGAATAGGGCCATCCTAGGAGACTGTGTTACTGCCCTGTCGTGAATCTACGGCCAGAGATCTTGGAGCTGGTGAGGAAAAGAGGCTGCAGCACTTGGGGTTTAGGGTTTAGGGTTTAGGGTTTAGGGTTTAGGGGTTAGGGTTGAAGTTAGCTCGGAGGCGAGCCCCCGCGCATCCCGAAGCCAAATGGGTGTTTCTCCAAGTCGGCCAGACCCGAATTTACCGAGAAAAAACGGCCAAACACGCATAGATCGCAGGGCATAAGCTGACCAGGGTTTAAGGTTTAGGGTTTCGGGCTTAGGGCTTAGGCTGGGTTTAGGGTTTAGGGTTTAGGGTTTAGGGTTTAGGGTTTAGGGTTTAGGGTTTAGGGTTTAGGGTTTAGGGTTTAGGGTTCACGGATCCAAACTTGGAGTCGGGGGCATGAGACCACGGTCTCGGCAGGTTGTGGAAACTGGGCAGTTCTCACCCTAAACCCTAAACCCTAAACCCTAAACCCTAAACCCTAAACCCTAAACCTTAAACCCTAAACCTAGTCTCTCCGAGGTGCCTTTGACCTTGAGCCAGTACCAGAACAACACCAAGTCGGCGCGCTTCTGGGTCTGTAGGGCTTGTCAGGTTTAGGGTTTAGGGCTAGGGTTTAGGGTTTCGGGCTTAGGGTTTAGGGTTTAAGGTGGAGGGTGTAGGGCTTAAGGTTTAGGGCTGGGGCTTGGGCCTTGAAGGGCTTATACAGGGTTTCTAGGGCTTGACAAGCCTACGCAATTCGGGGAGCTGCCTTGCGAGTGCAATGCAATGGCCCTATAAGGTCAGACTCCATCCTGCACCCCAACTCCTGCACAGCTAGCACTGCAACTGTGCGCAAAAAGTCCTCCCTGAAAAGTGCTTAGGGGAGTGCCACCCTCAGCACTAAACCCTGAACCCAAAAAACCCAGAATTCCCGAAATCTCCTGGCCGACCCCAAGCCCGAAACCCTAGGGTTTCCCTGTAGATCCTCGACCCTATAAACCCCGTAAGCCTTATAAACCCTCCCATAAACCCCATAAACCCCATAAACCCCATAAACCCCATAAACCCCATAAACCCTGTAACGCCCACAATCCCCATAAACCCTTCAAACCCTGTAAGCCCGCTATAAAACCCTAAACCCTAAACCCTAAACCCTAAACCCTAAACCCTAAACCCTACACCCTAAAACCTAAACCCTACGAAGCCCTAAAAGAGGCCTCCCAAGTCTTGCACGGCGAGTACATTCAGCACACCTGCCAGGCGGGTTCTGGGCAATTGGGGGGCTTCGGGGTTCATTGGGCCTCTTGAGAGCTTTCTGGGTTTAGGGTTTAGGGTTTAGGGTTTAGGGTTTAGGGTTTAGGGTTTACTTGGGTTTTGTAGGGCGTTAGAGGGTCTTACAGGTCTGGTGTGTTATGCGGTCTATAGGGTTTATAGGGTTTATAGGGTTTATAGGCTTTATAGGGTTTATAGGGTTTATAGGGGCGTTCATGGTTTACAGGGTTTATAGGGTTTAGGGTTGAGGATGTAGGGTGTTTAGGGCATAAGGCTTGGGGATTTCGGTTTCAGGTTTCTAGGGCAGAGGGTGCATCTTCGAACGGTTTAGGGCTTTGAGGCTTAGGGCGTCGTGCTCGTGCTGCTAGGCCTTAGATGTTTGACTCACCCTAAGCCCTCGGGCTTATCAAACTGAAAAGCTCTACGTAAACCCTCTTAGATCCTAGACTCTCAAGCCCTAATTGCCTTTCCCTTCCTGGAAACCCCAGCAAGGCAGCCACACTACTGCTACATAAGCCCTATACACCCTCACGACATGTAGCATGCAATCGGAATCCCTAAACCCTAAACCCTAAACCCTAAACCCTAAACCCTAAACCCTAAACCCTAAACCCTAAACCCTAAACCCTAAACCCTAAACCGTAGTTGCAGTTTCCCGCAGGAAGCAGGTGACGCGGCGGTCTCGCCCGAAGTCTCAGCATTCCTTCAGCGTGGTTGGGCTGATATAGGGGTCGGAATAATTACCAAGAATATTCCCTTATGGTCCCTCTATCATTATACTAGAATAGCCCCCAAACCCCTGTTCTAATTAGTTAGGCCCCTATAGTATCTATAGTATGTCAACGTAAGGGTTTCCGAAATTAGGGGACCCTCTTTCTGGGGCCCCCTATTTTCGTAAACCCCCATGTATCTATCGCCCGTTGTGGGTTCTAGGTTCCCTTATAAAGACACCAGCCCCCAAAAGGGTATGTTCTTTCTGGGCTTCCGAGGCTACACCCCTAAACGACTTCATCAACCCTAGCCTAACCATGAGGTTCTCAGAACCCTTATGGACAACAGCCAAGTCCCTGGAAGTATAGGGCAAGTTCAAAACCCTAATATCTAAACGACTTAAGTATTAAGTTCTTCGAACCCGATACCTACACACTTCCCAGTACGCAGGCGCAGCAAGACAATGAAATCGCGTTTCAGTTCTTCTTTACTTGTTCTAAACCGGGACTTAGGAATCAGGTACCTCACATCCCCTAAATGTAAACAAAAAATCCTGACTCCATAGGGAAAGAATCCACAGGTCTCACTGGTACCAGTTCACTTCAGATTCAGGGAGGGCGAGACAAAGGTTGTTTGTTGGTGGCTTGGGCCTGGACGCCAAACCTGACTCTACCCTAACCCCTAACGCCTATCTTGCTACCCCACATGCAGGAGCAGAGCCCCCACGGAAGCTGAAATCACGATAGATCTCGGCGAGGGATGGTTCAAGGAGTGGCGCACGAGAAAGCACAGCAGACAGATTGGAAAGCAACATGAGCTCCACACTCACGAAGACGGCAGCATCTACGACTCCAGAAAAAAGGCCGAAGCCGCACGCTGCGCAGATCCAGAACCAGACAGAAGAGCTCTCTTTAGGATTTTCGCGGTTTAGGGTTCAGGGTTTAAGCTCCGAGACTTGAGTTGTGGGGCTTAGGGTATTGGGGCTTGAGGGGCTTGAGGGGCTTGAGGGGCTTGAGGGTTTAGGGCTTTAAGGCTTCAGGGCTTCAGGGGGTTTCGGGCTTGGAGTTCCGGGTTTCTGGCTTTAGGGTTTGTATGGGCTTTATGGCTTCACGTCTTGAGGGCTCCAGGGTTTGGGGTTTGAGGGTTGCGGGTTTGCGAATACCATCCCGGCATCATCCCCTTTCTCACCATAAGATGGCTACCCCTAAGCCCTAAACCCTAAACCCTAAGCCCACAATTCAATACACTTTTTCGGTGTGTACCATTCTTCTCTTTCTTTAGACTTCGGATCCCTGAACTCCGTTAAGCAAAAGACAAGGCACCCACGGAAATCCTGGGCAACCTAGCACCCCTGAACACTTAACTCGAAGCTCTTGAACTTCGCTAGACCCTAAACCCTAAACCCTAAACCCTAAACCCTAAACCCTAAACCCTAAACCCTAAACCCTAAACCCTAAACCCTAAACCCTAAACCCTAAAGCCAAATCTTCCCCAGGTCCCACGAACCTATTCCAGAGTATAATCCACTGTGCGGCCCTCAGCACAGACGTGGGAGGGGACACCACCACTTAAGGTTGTGTGTGTGTTACGTACAGTTTAAGGGTTAGGGTTTAGGGTTTAGGGTTTAGGGTTTAGGGTTTAGGGTTTAGGGTTTCGGGTTTCGGGTTTCGGGTTTAGGGTTTAGACAGAAAGCCCTAACCAGCCTAGAAGCTCAAACTGCTTCTAATGCTTCGGGGTTAAGGGCAGGGTTTCATACCCTAGGCCCTAAGCCCTAAACCCAAGTCTTAGGGCTCTAAGGGCTTCGAGCTGAGCTTCAGGGCCAAGGTCGTGAAAGCAAGCCCTGAACTTTTACGGTTGAGAGTTTGGGGTTTAAGGATTTAGGGTTAAGGATTTAGGATTTTGGGTTTAGGGTTTAGGGTGCCCCAAGCCTGAAGCCCCTCAGCATGTGTTGGAGCTTGGCATACGTGCGTTCGGACTTTGAGGGCTTTGTTGGGGCTCGCCCGGAACTCCCTAAACCCTAAACCCTAAAGCCCTCGAGCCCTCGAGCCCTCATGGAAGGCCCTCAATGTGAAAGCCCTAAACCCTAAATTGCATTCCCAAGGCCTTATCTCTACCCAAAGCCCTAGACCCTACATCCTGTAACCCCAAACCCTATACTACATCCTGAACCCTTGAAGCCTAAACCCTGCAGCCCTGAACCCTGAGCCCCCGAAGAACCCTCGAGCCCTTAAGACCCAAAACCCTCAAGAACTTATCACCAGAAGAAACTAAAGCCCCAAACCCCAATCCCTAACCCCTAAAACCCTAAAACCCTAAATCCCTAAAAGGACAAGTGCGACCAGCACGACCGTCTCTCCTGAGTTCAGTGTCGATACTACGGATGTCCCAGGCCAGCCGGAGGGTTTAGGGTTTAGGGTTTAGGGTTTAGGGTTTAGGGTTTAGGGTTTAGGGTTTAGGGATTAGGCTTGCTGGGTTCAAAGGTATATTTGCCAGGGTTTAGGGTTTAGGGTTACAGGGGGCATGCCTCATGGTTTAGGATGTTTAGGGTAGCAGGGTTTCTGGTTTAGGGTTTTAAGGTTTTCTCCTATTTAGGGGTGCTAGGGTGTGAGTGCTTAGGGATTGCTAGGAGTCGGCAGAATTTGTTGGAGGTGGGGGTGGGCCACTACTGGGATATCTTCACCGACTGTAGGTGCCCAATTTTCTTGGGGTCGTGTTCTTGGGTTTTTTGGTAGGGCCTAATATAGGGGTCGGAGTAATTACTGATAGTATCCCCTTAAAATTATACTACAATAATTAAGGCGCCTTTCTTAGCTGGGCGTCGGGGCCTCCGGCGTAGGGTTTGTGGATGAGGGGGTAAGGCAAGCGCGTAAAGCGTCATACTTTCCCCAAGGGCTCCATGCACCTAATATCGTCTTATCTTCGAGGCCTCAAAAAAAGGTTCCTATATGGGGTTGTACGATAATCAGGGACTCTAACATAAACCCCCAAATAGTAGGATTCCCCTAGAAGAAGGACCCCCAATAAGGTACCCCTAGTATCGTACACCCCCATGTAGCAAGTTCCGTTTGCATCATAACGGTACTGCCTTATCTGCGATACAACCCTAGCTATGGCAAATGAGCTTCGGTTCCTTTACAAGAACCTCGCTTATTCTTCAAGCTGCGCAAGCGCAAGTTCCCTCACTCGTGACGAAAGCACGCCTTGGCAGAAACCGTGCGGTTTACCTCTCCAGTGACCCCCGTGCCGATCGCAGGCCGGGTTAAGGGAAGGGGGCGAGGCTTTCCTTTCAGGCTTGGATCATAGGGCCCTTAAGGGGGCTTCAAGGGGGTGCGCAACTCAAGTCCCTAACAGTACCCACTACTAAGTACTCTGCAAGGCGGCCAAAGCTTCCCCCAGGTACCTAGCCCGCATGAGCCCCCCCTCCCTGAAGGACCCTACTATGTGGAATTGAGAGCTCTTGGGTTTGGGGCTTCCGTGGGTGTAAGGACCCTGCAAACCCTAAGCGCCTGAACCCAGCACCCTAAAGGCCTTCGTGGCTCCAAGGGCCCTAGGAGTTAAACTTCACACAAAGGATTTTGCAACGTCTCAGAGAACCCTGAATCCTAAACCCGGCATGAGAATCCTGAACAACCCTAAACCCTAAACCCTAAACCCTAAACCCTTTTGCCTAGAAGGGGCGCGTGACAGTCTATGCCATGCTCGTGCTGCCCCCCAACATTGACCCTGGCTTTAAGACTGGGTCATTCTGTTACAGTAACCTACGAGATCAAGATACGAACGCGTGCTACAAAAACGTTCGCTTTCTCACTTGCTGAAATTTTAGAACCCTGGTTGTGAATCATTTTCGGGGATGACTGAGAGGTATACCTGCCAACCCTAGCTTTGGGTGGAGATCCTGACATTGCGATTCTGTGTTTTTGGGTTGGGCAGGAGGGGGGGGGTTGTACAGCCTTTGAGAACTCAAGCCCCAAACCCTAAACCCTAAACCCTGAACCCTGAACCCTGAACCCTAACTTCTGGCTTCTTTTGGTGGACCCCTAAACCCTAAACCGTAAGCCCCAAGGTCATAGAACCCTAAACCCGAAGTCTCGGCCTACGACACTGAGGAAAAGGACATGCAGGGAGTTTCAAGAGAGGTGTAGGGGCGTTGCCAGGATGACCTTTAGCTTACAGATTCAACACCTTAAGAACCCTCAAACCCTTGACCAAATTCACAAGCCCTGAACCAAAAAAACGGTCTCACCACCCACCTAAAAAACCATAAACCCTAAACCCTAAACCCCAAACCCCAAACCCCTAAACCCCAAACCCGAAACCCGAAAACCTAAACCCTGAACCCAGAACCCTGAACCCAGAATGGAAAATCTGCACCTTAAACCCGAAACCACTAAACCCTAAATCCCTAAACCCGAGAACCTGAACCCAGAACCCAGAACCCTGAACCCAGAATGGAAAATCTGCACCTTAAACCCGAAACCACTAAACCCTAAATCCCTAAACCCTGAACCCTGAATCGAAAACCTGCACCTTAAACCAGACACCACTAAACCCTAAACCCCTAGACCGTAAATCCCTAAGGATTCCTACGCCGCTAGCCTAAACGAACACCGCTGAGCTTGAACACCGAACCCCTTATCAAGGGAGTAAGGGGGTCAGGGGTTTAGGGTTTAGGGACAGGCGCCCAGCCTAGGTGGTGTTGCTTGCCCTGTACAGACACTGTGTATACCGATTGCGCACAAATGACCCTCAAAAGTGCGCCAAAACCCTACACCCTCCTAAAACCCTGTAAAGCACCCATCCCCTAAACTCCAAGCCCTCGAGCTTAAAGCCTCAACATCTAGAACCCTAAACCCAGAAGCCCTAGAACCCTAAACCCTCAGACCCCTAGAACCCTAAACCCTCAGACCCTAGAACCCTAAAACCTCAGACCCTAGAACCCTAAACCCTGAAGCCCTAGAACCCTAAACCCTCAGACCCTAGAACCCTAAACCCGGAAGCCCTGGAACCCGAGCTTTGATTCACCCGCGCAGGGCCAGGAAAGGATGCCATGACTGCCAAGGCCAGGGCAATCGCCAAGGAGGAGGCCTGGAACCTTGAGAGGGGTTTTTAAGGGGGGTTTAAGGGGGATTTATAAGGAGGTTTAAATGGGGGTTGAAGGCGGTTTTTAAAAAAATTGAAGGGGGTTTAAGGTTTAGGGAACCTTGAGAGGGGTTTAAGGGGGGGCTTGATAGGGGGCTTGAAGGGGGTTTAAGGTTCAGGGGGGTGCCAAGAGGAGGCCTGGAGTCTTGAGACGGGCTTTTTGGGGGGGTAGAAGGGGGGCTTAACGGGGTTTAATAGGGGTTTCAGGGGGTTTAAGGCGGTTTAAGGGGGTCTAAAGGTGGCTAAGGGTTTAGGGGCTTGAGAAGGTTGTCTTGTTTTCTTTGCTTTTTTAAACTTGGTAGGCCAGTTGAACCCTTGTACCCTTTTTTCTTTTCAACCCTAAAGCCTAAAGCCTAAAGCCTAAACCCTAAACCCTAAACCCTAAACCCTAAACCCTAAACCCTAAACCCTAAACCCTAAACCCTAAACCCTAAACCCTAAACCCTAAACCCTAAACCCTAAACCCTAAACCCTAAACCCTGATTGGTTGAGTGTTTAGGGGTCCCAGCTGCAGGTGAACATGGAGAACTTGTTCGCCGTGGGCGCCCTGACGGCCGAGCTCCCGGAGGGGGCGGGGGTTTAGGGTTTAGGGTTTAGGGTTTAGGGTTTGGGGTTTAGGGTTTAGGGTTCTAACTGCAGAAGGATGGGCTAATTACACGCCAAGCGATCATGACCCGAACTTTGGCTCGAAGAGCAGGATCGGCCCGTCAGACCTGGAGAGTTACTTCTACATGCTGGAGCTCAAGCCTGGTCACCGCTGAGATTTACTTCATGGGTCTTGGCTATGCCAAGATGATCCCATGCCAAGTAACTGCCTTCGATTGATGATTCCGCTGGGCTTCCATTCTGAGGCAAGCTCTTGCCATTCAATGTTCGACGGGTTTTCGGGCTTTTTTGGGTTTAAAAAGTTTAGGGTTTAGGGTTTAGGGCTTTGGGCTTAGGGTTTAGGGTTTAGGGTTTAGGGTTTAGGGTTTAGGGTTTAGGGCTCACTCCGGATGTGAGGTCCAGTGAACACAGGACATGGAAAATTGCATGTTGGCATCATTTTGGGAGGTCCAAGTTGTTTGTCTAAGCAGCTGACAAGCCGAGTCAAAGTCTGAGGCCAAAGTGCTCAATTTGCTTAAACTTCTGGCTCTCCCCCCCCCCCCTCCTCCCCCCCCCCCGCCCCACCCCCGCCCACCCACCCCCCCCCCCCGCCCCCTTCCCCCTCCCCCCCCCCTCCCCCACTCCCCCCCCCGCCACGAAGGGGCAAAAAAACAAAACTTGCGGTCAAACGTCTTTGGGCAAACCCAAACCCTAAACCTAAACCCTAACCCTAAACCCTAACCTCTTTGGGATCCTCGCGGCGCCATAGAAGTAGAGAGCGATCTAAAGTCCCCGAGACCCGAAAGGGAGTCCACCCAGCAAGTATTGAGCAAGAAGTCCCAAAAGGTTTAGGGCTTAGGAAAGTTTCGGGTTTAGGGTTTAGGGTTTATGGTTGAGTGTTTAGGGTTTAGGGCCCTAGATTGGGCAACTTGGGATCAACATCCAGTTGTCAGTATCGCGAGGGGACCATTCGCTGTTGCAGACCCCATAAAACGCTAATTCGATGTGCCTGGCACCATGCTTGGCCCCAAGTTGGAGAGACCAGGCAGTTGGTGTCGACTTCAACCAGATCCCTGACGACGTGAGGCCAGCACCTTAAGGGTATAACCCTAGACCCTAAACCCTAAACCCTAAACCCTAAACCCTAAGAGACCAAACTACAACCACACCACAACCACAGGCATCCCAGCAGAGGGGGGAGGGGGGGCGGGGGGCAGGGGGGGGGGAGGGGGGGGGAGTCCTGGCCATCCTTGAGTCTCGCTTGAGTGAAGCCTCTAACAACCGAGGCAACAGTAGAGCGCTCACCGCTGCCGCCCTCCAGGTCACCTCGCTGTGAGTGGTTCCACTCAAGACCTCCAGGTGAAAGGAAGGCAATCGCCGAGCTCACGGGAGCATGCGTCAGGCGTGGATGATGCACCCACCAATGCCGTTCGCTCTGTCATCGACCATTGGGTCAGAGAAAACTTGATGGAGCGAGCAGAGCGCCGCGGATGTGTATGGTGTCTGCAAGCACGCAAACTATATAAGCCTAAGACCTAAGCCGCAGCTCCCGAAGGCCCTAAGGACGCAAGGCGCTAAGGCTCTAAGGCTGAAAGGCCCTAAGGCCCGGGGAGTGAGGGGGGAGGGGGGGGGGGGGGGGGGGGGGGGGGGGACGGAGGGGGGCAACCAAGGTCATTCTTTAAGAGCCACGCTTCATGGTAGCTTTAGGGCCCAAGTATTTGCTATGCATTGGGGTTGTGCAGTTTAGGGTGAGGAGCAAGAGCAAATCAATGGAATCAAGGTGTTCGATTGTGATGTTTGTTGATACACCTATGTTCAAATTGCGATTTTCTGAGGGGCCCTGCTCATAAACCCCTTGTATAACCTAATGCAGCCAGTCGAAAATTAGGTCTTTATCGAGCCCCAACCCACGGAACACAAGAACGTATACTATACTACCCCCCCCTCCCCCACATCTGGGCTGAAGTTTAGCATCTAGGGTCCAGGGTATTACCCTTACTACCCACTTACGAATGCTTCCTTACTCCAAAGGACTGCCCTGATAAGGCTTAGTGAAGGGTTATTTTCGGTAGGAGGGGCAGTAGGGGACAAGTACACAAACCCCAAACCCTAACCCTCAACCCCTAGACCTAAACCCTCTCCTGAACCCTGAACCCCTAGAAAGCATTCTGGGTTCGGGCAGAGGGTTCAGCTTCCAGGGCGAATTGAAGTGCAGGGTGCAAAAGGCTTGAAAGGCACCCCAAAGCCCCCTAAGCCCTGAATCCAAATCCTGGAACCCTAAAACCCCTGAAGCCTAAACTCCAAGCCCCAAATCCTAAACTCCAAACCCCCAAATCCTAAACCCCAAACCCGAAAACCTAAACCCCAAACCCCTGAATCCTCAGCCCTGAACCCCTGAATCCTGAGCCCCAAACCCCTGAATCCTAAACCCTAAACTCTAAACCCTAAACCCTAAACCCTAATTGTTGTTGAGGCATTAGGCTGAAAGTGCCCTGACAGGGAGAAGCTGAAGGGCCGCTTCGCCGAGCTCATTTCTGCGAACACAGGCCCCGTGTTGCATGCAAGTAGGGTAGGTTCGGGTTGAGGGCTTAGGGCTTGAGGCTTCGGGCTTAGGGTTTAGGGTTTAGGGTTTAGGGCTAGTGCGAGTGTGCAGAGACACATTTCGGGCTTCGGAGGTTGTGATTCGGCATTTTCGGGCGAGCGCGTGCAACTCTCCCTTGATTCATTGAGTGTTCGGTTTCCCTCGTCTGCAGGGCTCATCGCCTCACATTCTTTGACAGATCCTGAACAGTTCTAGCGTTTAGGCGTGATGTCTGTGCGAGTACAACTGCTTGCCGGTGTAGTGTGCATCCTACCGTGTTAGGTTGCATTCCTCGGTCTGCGATGTACGGTTTAGGGTTTGGGGCACTTCAAGTCCCGCCATCCCAAGGTGTGAGCAAGTACGACGTCCTCGACTTGAGCAACGAGGCCCATTGCATTGGGCCGCGCGTTTAGGGCCTAGGGTTTAGGGTTTAGGGTTTAGGGTTTAGGGTTTAGGGTGGCTCCTGTGCAGCGGGCTCTGACCAGGTTTTGGCGGTTCGTAACATTTCTCTCTTTGAGTCAACTCAACTCAACATCTTAAGCCCCGAGAAAAGCCCTGGTCCCCAAGCTCTCGAAGCCCCAGAGCCACGAAACAATAAGCCCTTAAAGCCCTAACTCCCCGACTCCTAGACCGAAACCCTACTTGGAAGCCCTTTTGACTCAGTACGGAAGGTTAGTGAGGTGGGTTATAGGGAGTATAATGGGATTTCTAGGGGATGCTAAATAGACTTACTAAGTCAAAAGAGCTTCTAAGTAAGCCACCTCAGCGTTAGGAGATTAGGCTTGGAAATCCATGGCAATGTGCTCTGCTGTCCTTGACAGAGTTGAGGCTGCAGTCTTAACCAACCTGACCTGCAGCCTTATGGAGTCTGGTAGGGTTTAGGGGTCAGGGCTCTGGAGGGAGAGAGAGAGAGAGAGAGAGAGAAAAAACAAAAAAAGACTGAGCTCGGCTTGTGAACTCTCAAGCGCCAGGCTGGAAAAACCAGCCTGTCGTCCGGAGCTTATCAGGATCCTGGACCCCCCCCCCTCAAAAATTGCTGCCTCAGGAGCTCCGAAACCTACTTTTGTTAATTGCAGATCCCAATGTAAGGGTTTCGTTATGGTAGCCCAAAGAAGGTCAACGTCTTAGTTCCTGGCGCTCGGGGCTTGGGGCCTAAAACCCGAAGCGTCCTGAAGTCCCTAAACCCTAAACCCTGGACCCTAAACCCCAAACCCTAAACCCTAAACCCTAAACCCTAAACCCTAAGCCCTAAACCGACCTTGGCTCTGGCAACCTTGGCAGGCGAGTAAGCGACCTGATGCTGTTTGAGGTAGTTAGAGTTCCTAAACCCTAAACCCTAAGCCCTAAGCCCTAAACCCTTAACCCTAAACCCTAAACCCTCAGCCCTAAACCCTAAACCCTAAACCCTAAAGAAAGGTTTCCAACAGGGCCCACACCGAAGGGGCCCTTGAAACTATTGCAAGATGAAGAAGTTAAGGGACCGACCTGAAGGACCCCAAAGCTACTTGCTCGTAGTTTCCTCTTATCAACCGTTTAGGGTTTAGGGTTTAGGGTTTAGGATTTAGGGTTTAGGGTGTAGGGTAACCTGCCAGCAGGCTCTGGGCTGTTCAGGTAGTTTTTAGAAGGGCCTGCAAGCGATGAAGGGTTTTGGCAGGGGCTTGCAGGGTTGTTGGGCTTACGCGGCGGAGTGCGATTCCTGTGAAGGGGCCAAAGACCGAGCCCTGGGTTCAGGGCTCAGGGTTGTCTCCTGAACAGGGTAAAGGGTTTCGGCTTCAAAACCCTCAACTTCCAAAAACATCGAAAAAGTTAACCTTTAAACGCTCAATTCCTATCCCCAACCCCCCGAACCCCTAAACCCCAAACCCTCTAGGGTGTGGGTTTAATTTCGGTATGAAAAGCTTGGGGATGCCTTTCAACTGCAACCTGAGCGGCGTGCGGGCGCGTGCTACTGAAGCACACTTTGGGGTGAAGCCGAAACCCTAAACCTATATTCCATATACCCTAAACCCTAAACCTGTTAACCCTAAACCCTATACCCGAAACCCTATACCTGTTCACCCTAAACCCTAAACCCTATACCCGAAACCCTGAACCTCCCGAAGGCCTAAGCCCAAAGGTCGTGGCAAACCCACAACCCAGTGTTCACCCGGCGCCTCCAGTGCGAGCCTGAGAGCATCGTGCCTTCCTGTTGGGGTGTGGGATTCTGCGGTTCAGGGGTTTTAGGGTTCCAAGGGTTTTGGGTTTCGGGTTTAGGGTTTAGGGTTTCTAGGGGTTGAAGTTTTTAGGGTTTGAGGGTGAGGGCACGCCACAGCCTCGTGCCATGGGACTTTGGCTCAGTATGCAGTGTACAAGCACCCGACGAAGGTAGGCATGAGTCAGCTTTTGGCAGAGCCAACGTCCACCTGGAATTTCCGTAAACCCTGGCTTGTAAGCCTTAAACCACTTGAGACATGTTGCAAAAGTTGCAAAAGGAAAGGGGTGCCAACCAATCGCGTCAGCTTGTTCAGCCTCGCGCTCCCAATTGCATGACCTTCTCGATGTCTTCGGAAAGCCGGCCCTGCCTCATAGTCAAAGGATCGCTTCTCTAAAAAATTGTCCCTGCTTGGGTCCTTCTTATAAGGCGGCCCCAAAAACGATACGGGGTACCCCCCCAAATTTGGGCCCTAATCATGAAAGCTCACGTAGCGGAGCTGGAGTTTTATCTGCTTTAGCAGTAGGGGGCCGACCACGGCCAGAAAACAGCGTGTTATTGATACTATCTTATTAGGGGGGAGGGGAGGGGGGGGGGGTAAATTGATGTATCACACGAATTTCTTGATTTTGAGGGGGGGGGGAGGGGGGGAGGGGGGGGGGGGGAGGGGGGGGGGGGGAGGGGGGGGGGGAGGGGGGGGGGGGAGGGGGGGGGGGGGGAGGGGGGGGAGGGGGGGGGGGAGGTGGAGGGGGGGGGGGGGGGGGAGGGGGGAGGGCGGGGGGGTTAAATTGATTATATCAATACCTGAAGGGGGGGGGTCTTTACGTCAAGACTTGACTCCGTCGCGTGTTGACCGCAGTGCGTGAGTCAGGCTCCCAGCACAACATGCGTCGCCGCCCACTAGTGATGTGTTGACTGCAACGAGCTAGTTGATTGCAAGAAGCTAGTATCTTCCCTGCGACGGCTGAAAAGAAGACTCTGACCCCTCAAGCATGCCTCCAACAGGTCCCTGCCCACACTTTCTCATGCAACTTTGCTCTTGCTTCCGGCCCCCGAGCTTTCGTCCTCCCTGCCTCCGGCCCTCAATTTTTGAGAACTGACCATATTTCGGGATTGGTACAAGTACCCACATGAACCCTACAAACCCATATAAACCGAAAATCCATGCAAGCCTTAAACCCTGTACCCAAAACCCTAAACCTTGTAGATCCCACCTCCGAGGACGACGGAGCCAGCAATTGCAGCCTACTTCAAGATGCTCAACCCGAAAGGCCCCCGCTGCATGATGCATTAGGATGAGGGTTCGGTTCAGGGTCTGGGTTTTAGGGATTTAGGGATTGGGGTTTAGGGTTTAGGGTTTAGGAGGGGAGGGGTGGGGAAGGCAACATCACAAGCTGTGCATGTCCTGATCAGGCTGATTCTCACCTCTCATCTCCCGGTGCCTTAAGTGAGAGGGGAGAGGGGGAAGGGGGGGATCCCAAACTTTAGCCAGCCAGTTCCGGCCAGGCACGGAGAATTTCGATTCCGCCCAGAGTGCTTTGACGAGTGGCAGCTTCCAGAGACAGGTGGGGTTTAGGGTTTCGGGTTTGGGGTTTAGGTTTAGGGGAGCGGCCAGTTCTGTATATCATACGAAACCCTAAACAAAAACACGGTACCACAAAAAGGGGCTGCAATTTGGAGAACTACTCAGGTGGTCTTTAAGGATTAGAAAACGCGTCTTGAGTGTTGTCGGTTTTAGAGTTCTTTTTCTGGTTCAAGGGTTTGGGGTTTTATGCTTTTGGGGGGTTGAGAGTTGTTGCTGGGGTTTGGGGGTTTAGGGCTGTGGGGGAGTTTGAAGGGTGGTGGATGTTTGGGGGGGGGGGGGGGGGGGGTGCTTGGTGGTTCTAAGCTGAGGTTTCAAGATTAGCATTTGGGGCTTGAATCCGGCCCGAATGAGGGAACCCCCCGTCCCCTGAACTTCAGCGGACGCTTTAAGCCTCGACCTTGAAACTAACTAGGCCGTCCTTGGACATATCAGCAAGTAGGGTTCCTATCATGAGGGTTATTGGGGGGGGGGGGGGGGGGGGGGTAGGGATACTCTCATTTTGGGACATGCCCGTCTTCCTTTTTAAGAACATGTGTCGGGTATGAGCATGCGCAGATGTCGGCAGAGACGATGGTGCTCCTCAAGGACGTGCCGCACGCATTGCAGCCGCCGAATCAACCGCCGAGGGTGCAGGCGAGGTCAACGCTCTTGGATTTAGGAATTGCATGGCGAGTGTTTCGGGTTCAGGCCTGTGTGTTTTACGAGGGTGCAGGCTTTGTCTTTAGCACGGCTTTCATGCGTTTATTGATTGGAGAGAAGTTGGTCGTCGCAACGCAGGAGCCATCTGATGTCCTGGCCGCCCTGTTCATAACATGACACTTGTTTTTGTAAGAAAAAACAAGAATAGAACAAGATGGTAATATCAACATATCAACCGAATACTCGATTTAGAAATGTTTGCGCACGTACATTATTACATTGGTATAGTGATAAAGTAATATACTCATCAGATAACATGCCGTAATAATGCAGTACTTTACTACTACATTAATAAAGTAATTGAACCATATCCTACTCACAACGAGATGACCACTTTAGTATAAGATAGTGTGATAACATTCAAAAACGATCAGCACATATCATGTAGCATATAAAACTATATTGTATACTAACATCATCATCCAACAGTATAACCATGTAGTAGTATACCAATGTAGGAATGATAAGTGTAAGAATCGTGTGTGTGTGTGTGTACAGAACAATGTAGTAGTGTAATAATATCGAAGTATTTGAGTAGACTAGTAGAATGCAACAGATATTGACATCATGATAGAAAACAAAGAATCGAATGACAAAATCAGGAATCATGGCAAATTCACGTATTCTCTCTTGTCAACCAACAGTCTCTTGCTGGTGCTGGGCATGGGAAGCCTCCACCTCCCCCGTCCTTTTCGCCCTCAAGCCCCACGCGTTTTGTGGCAGGCCCATGTTCGGGAGGCGCGCGCATGGGGATTCCGAGGAGAACGGGGAGGGTCTGGGGTGCGGGGCTCGGGGAAAGCGATTGCCCACAATTTCAGGCGCATCGGGACTTAGGTATGACAGGGTTGTCGCACATGCATTGGGCACTCGGGACCTCCACCCTAAAGCCTAAACCCCTAAAACCCTGAGAGCCAAGTTTGGGCAACGCCCTTCCAACCTCTCAAGGCCTGAACATTGGGATGTTCCCCCTTTTACTAGCAGTCCTTTCATTGAGATTGCAGTAACCCCCTAATGATTACAATCCCTAGTAAGGAGCTGTTAGAAAATGGGGGGGAACATCCCAGCCTGAACACAACGTGGCAGTTCGGGAGTCCCCCAGGAAGCCCCAACTCGAACCACTCAGCCCCCGAAACTCGGTTTAGGGTAATTAGGGTAATTAGGGTAAATAGAGTAACTAGGGTAATTAGGGTAATTTGGGTAATTTGGGGATTAGGAGAATCAGGCCCTAGGGTATTTCCCCAAACGGTTTGCTGTAGGCGTTCCTGTTTCTTTTTCAGAGTTCCGACCTACCCCGTGTAACCCTTAAACCCTCAACCCTCAACCCTAAACCCTGAACCCTAAACCCTAAACCCCAACCCTTCACTAAACCCTAAACCCTAAACCCCAAACCCCAAACCCCAAACCCTAAACCCTAAACCCTAAAACCTAAACCCTAAACCCTAAACCCCAACCCTTCAACTAAACCTAAACCCGAAACCCTAAACCCTAAACGCTAAACCCTAAACCCTAAACCCTCAACCCTCAACCCTCACCCTACCCTAAACCTAAACCCAAACCCTAAACCTAAAACCCTAAACCCTAAACCCTAAACCCTAACCCTAAACCCTAAACCCTAAACCATAACCCTAAACCCCAAACCCCAAACCCTAAAACCTGAAAAACCCTAAACCCTTAAACCCTAAAACCCTAAACCCTAAACCCTAAACCCTAAACCCTAAACCCTAAACCCTAAACCCTAAACCCTAAACCCTAAACCCTAAACCCTAAACCCTAAACCCTAAACCCCAACCCTTCAACAAACCCAAAGTTCTTCGACCACTAATGGCCGTGTCCTGCGCTAGTCCAACCTGGACGACCTCTTCCCGGAAGGCGGAGGCCCAAAGGCCGGCCTCCTCTTTGAAGGTTTAGGGTTTGGGGTTTGGGGTTTAGGGTTTAGGGTTTGGGGTTAGGGTTTGGGGTTTAGGGTTTGGGGTTTGGGGTTTGGGGTTTAGGGTTTTGGGGGAGTTTGGGAGTTGTGTGTTGTTTGGGGGTAGTACTTGTATTTAGGGCTTCGAGCTTTTGTGAGTTCAAGGTTTATTCCCCAAACCGTGTGTCAGCACCAACAGGGAGCGCCCACGGCCCGGGTGGCTTTTGGATGTCGATGCCGGGAAGCCTTTGTGTTTTCCACCCCATCCTCCGACAAGCCCTACTTAAAACCCCGAGCCCAGCTCACCCTAAACCCTAAACCCTAAACCCTAAACCCTAAAACGCCCTAAAAAGCCCCTAAACCGCTTCTCTCACCTGAAAGGCTACATCGCACAACCACTTCCAGGCTTCGCAGGGGTGGCTGGAATCTGTTCCCTTTGAAAGTGCCACTTTGTTTACAGGGTTTAGGGTTTAGGGTTTAGGGTTTAGGGTTTAGGGTTTAGGGTTTGTTTCTGGCTTGGGGCATGTGTTCCACGCCGAGCTTTAGAGTTCAGACTTGCAGGGCCTGGAGAAGGGCCCGAAACCCTAAAGCCTAGAAGACGTTAGCTTTGACTGAGAATGGGCTCTCGAGGTACTTGGTGCACTTGACGTTTATCCTTCACATCCCCGTTTCAAGGTGCTACAAGTACACCTAACTTGTCCCGGATCCCAAGGCAGAAGCCCTCAATCTTAGGTTCTAACTCCCAGCCTCAAGCCCTGCATACACATAGACATGCACATACACAAATACAATACATATAGACATCCCTACACCCTAAACCCTATGCAGATCTTTGCGCAGACCTGGCTGGTTGTCTTGGGCCTGGCCCTCGTCGCCGCAATCGCGGCGTTGGCCTACTGGGTTTATGCCCGGGGCCCGGCGAAGCAGGTCGTTTGTGGTAGGGTTTAGGGTTTCGGGTTGAGGGTTTAGGGTTTAGGGTCTTTATGGGCTTGCGGGCTTAAGGATTCATAGTGTTTAGGGTTTAATTGGACTTAGAGGTGTAGGGCAGGTGTTGGGGGCTGTACTGCCAGCAGGGGTGTTTGCTTTTCAGGGTTTTAGGTTTCTAGGGTTTAGGCTCGAGGGTTTTCAGGTTTGCAGGGCTGAATGGAGAATGATACGCACGGCATACAAGCAGGGGCTTTGATTTAGGCATATTTCGGCAGAAGAACCAGAAGTTGTAGAAGAGCAGTGCAAACCCCCCCTAAACCCTAAACCCTAAACCCTAAACCCTAAACCCTAAACCCTCGTTCCCTCCCTGTTGGCTCGTGGCTAATGCGACCCGCTCCTCTATGAGTGGACCCGCGAGCCTATGCCTTTGACCGTACCAAGCACTTCACAGATGTGTCGGTTACGTGTGCGGCACACCATCTGAGACCCCGAACCTCCCCTCAACCCTAAACCCTAAACCCTAAACCCTAAACCCTAAACCCTAAACCCTAAACCCTAAACCCTAAACCCTAAACCCTAAACCTAAACCCTAAACCCTTGCCCTGAAAGTCACCCGAGAGCACAGCACAAAACAAGCCTCGGCTTGAGAGGTATGAGAACAAGACGGGGAGAATGCGTTCAAGACAGACCTAAATGTGTCGTTGTGCGACGCAATCTCTGTATATGTGGCCCAGGCACAGCCCTTCGATCCTGATCCTGCTGCTGCTGCTGCTGCTGCTGCTGCTGCTGCTGCTGCTGCTGCTGCTGCTGCTGCTGCTGCTGCTGCTGCTGCTGCTGCTGCTGCTGCTGCTGCTGCTGCTGCTGCTGCTGCTGCTGCTGCTGCTGCTGCTGCTGCTGCTGCTGCTGCTGCACTTCAGGCAAGGCTGGACAAAAGATGCGCATTTTCTCTTTGCTCAGCCTTGAGAAACAACACCGCCGTGCGCTACGTGCTCGTGAAGATCAACCAACGCATGCTCATTTGACGAGATTTTATACGTCCAGTGACAGTTGCTGAGGCCCAACCAAAATGCAAATTGATAGGTGGGGGGAGCGGGCGGGTTGTAGGTGATATTTGTAGACTTCTTAGCAGCCAAGTAGGCATTTGTACGCTTGGAGTGCTAGGGATCGTGATCACTATCCTAAGCAACTCATCTGCGCCTTGTCCTGCAGTCGTCATCGAATCCGGCAAGGAAGAAGGCCGCTTGCACGAAGCTAAGGGTCAAGGGCTTGCGATTCAGGGGCGGGCACCTAACGCGTAAACCTCTACTTGGAGGTTCATGGTACTTATACACCAGTTGTAACGGTGCTTATAACCATATTACGGCACTTAAGGGGCTTATAAATGAACCTCAAGCCGAAATCTCTTGACGTCAAAGGCCCTAGTGACATCCCCCAACAACTCCTAACCACCAAATCCCTATAGTCCCTGAAGCTGCAATTGCATCCACACAAGGCTGTAGCGGGACCTTAAGGGCTTTCACTGTGCTTTCACTTCGTGGATGGATGTCCTTCAACTTCACCCAGAGACTGAAACAGGAGCCTCAACGACGACTCCGTATGAATATTTTCCAGTGTCATCCGAAAAAACTTCAAGAGGAACGTCCCACAAGAACGTCCCGCAACACCCATTCTAACAAAGAAGGCGCCCTGCCCTGCACTATGGGGAGGGGGGGGGGGGGGGGTTTCTAACTTCATCTCTGACCTACGCAGGTCGTTTGGCGGTTAGCCTTCAAGTTCTCGCAAAGACCGCAGGACTCGCCGGCAAGCCTCCCAAAACCATCCAAGTTGTGAATCTGAAACTCCGAATTTCAAAACAGCCGTAAAACGAACAAGCTACTTTGCCTCAAGTTTCTACAACTTGCCTCCCCTAGCTCTTCAAATCAAGAACCTCAAACCCCAAAAGCCCCAAGGTTCTAAACTCTCAGCCCAAGAACCCTAAACCCCAAACCCTAAACCCTAAAGTCCCTTTAAACACAAAACACAGCCAGGTAAGTTTCGATGGCGAAGACGATCTTGACCTGGTCAAGCTCAAGGGGTCTCAAGAGGAGGGGCTTTTCTGTAGGGCTTAGGGTGATGTAGGAACTTTAGCGTTTCGGGTTTAGGGTTTAGGGTTTGGGGAGTAAGTTGCCGCAACAAGGAAGCCACGCTATTTACTACCTAGCCGTTTCATTGTAACTTGCTCAGCAGGTCAAGTTTAACAGTTTTGATGCTGCAGCTCTTTCAGTGACTAGGGTTTAGGGTTTAGGGTTTGGTGGGGCGGGGTTTTGTATGTTCGGGGCCTTGGTTGAGAACGTTCGTGGGTGTTTAGGGAGTTCGGTGGTTTGTGGTAGGCTTGGTGGGGCGCTGGCGCGTGCTTCTGTATCTTCGTTGGCTTTGGATGGCTTGGCTTTGCAGGGAAGGGCCTAAGTCCTACAGCCGCAGCTCTCAAACCAGAAGCAAGCCCTAAAGCGTGAACCCTCAGCCCTAAACCCTAAACCCATATGCCCCAAGCCCCGAAAACCCTGTTATCCGAGAACACCTTAATCCCACACCTCCAAGCCCCTGAAACCCCCTAAACACCTAAACACTTAAACCCCTAAACCCCTAACACCTAAACCACTAAACCCCTAAAAACCCTAAACCCCTAGACCCCTTAACCCTAAACCAAAGCCACACAAACCTCCACGCGGCAGCCTTTTTTGGAGGACTGGGAGCGCAGCGCGCGCGAAGTGCAGGTGGTAACGGACCCAGTGCAGGGTTTAGGGATTTTTAATCTGGGGCTTAGGGTATAAGATTTTAGCATCTTGAGGTTTAGGATCAGGGTGCCAAGTGTTGTAGGTGTAGTTTGGAGAGGAAAGAGGGGGGGAGGGGCGGCGCCGTTTGATTGTTTAGGGGTTACCCTAGCCTCTAAACCTTGGCTTTATATTATAGTATACAAATTATACTATATACGTATGTATATACATGTATACTAGTCTATTTCATATGTGCATTGATTTATATTTCTATTTATCTAGATTCATATTTATGTTGTTTGATTAATACATGTAGTTGATATATATATATACATACATATATATGTATATATATATACATATATATATATATATGTATGTATGTATATATACAGATATATACAGATATATACAGATATATACAGATATATACAGATATATACAGATATATACATATATATACAGATATATACATATACATATACATATATATATATATATATATCAGTGTGTGTGTGTGTGTATTCGTTCTGTCATATGTTAGCTTTTCACACATATAAAGTGCATGTATACGGACATATATCTATATACTTATATATATATATATACATATATATATATATTCATTCATTCATTCATTCATTTATTTATTTATTTATTTAGACATACTGATTTTTACGTTTTATAGAGTATGTATCAAGCCCCCTACGTACGATCACATCCCAGGCAAGTTCGCCCAGTAAGCAGAGGATCGAGGAGGCGGCTCTTCGTTTGGGGTTCTTAAGGGTTCAGGGCTTTCAGGCTGAACCGGAACCCTGAGCCCTAAACCCTGAACCCTAAACACTAAACCCTATAGATTTAAGTTTTCCTACGTTTCCTGAGTCCCCTGGCACCGGCAAAGTTACGGGGGTTGTTCCCTCTACTTCGGGCGGTCCTAACCTTTTAGCCCCCCTCAAATCCAAGATGGTTGAGGAACCTTCCCAAGCACAAAGTTTCTGGCTTAGGGGCTTAGGGTTTGGGCTTTAGAGTTTCGGGCACAGGGCTTGTTGTACGGTTCTCGTGTATGTTTAGGGCTCAGGGAGTGCCGGTGGCATGGGCCAGGATGCATATGAGCCTCCAGCGGCACTTCTGCTGGATAGATGCAAGCTCATCCGCTGTGTCCTGTTACAATGCCATTCGGAGGGCTTGGGGTGTGTTGTAAGAACCTGAATACATTCAGAGCAGTTGAGGGCTTAAGTTTTAGGGTTTTTGAAATCTGTAGAGGTTTGGGGAGGCCCTAAAGAACTCCGAAATTTCATAGCCTTGGGAATGAAGGTGAAACGTGTGAACTTGGAGAGTGGAGTGAAGCCAAGCGGACGAACCATTGACGGAAAGGATTACTCCAAGTTCGCTTGCTACACCCTAGGGGCCCTAAACCGTCGTTTGTGCGTTTTGTGCTGATGCGTCTCTTCCACCGTCTATAGCTTTGAATAGGACTGTAGCGAAGAAGGCGAGACTTCCATCAAAAAGATAAGAACATCGAGTTCGTGCCTTTTGTTTTTTTAAGGTTGTTGAGAGCAAGGGCTTCAGGTTGGCAGTGAATCTAGGGCATCCGCAGTCTGGGCCCTTACTTTGGGTCCCCTGTTATATAACTCTTATAGACAGTATACATAATCAGCGCCCATGCTTCGGATCTCTTTGGTTATTTCCCTTTAAACAAGGGTAAGGAACCATACTAAGGGCCCATGGTTCCAGCCTTCGAGAATCATGGAGGCAGGAGGCTTCAGGGCTATTCTGTTTCAGAACAGCTTTTGGTAAGCTGCCCCAAACCCCAGATCCTTAGCCCCCTAAGCCCCGGAAAAAGCCCTAAGCTGCCCTAAACCCTAAACCCTCAACCCTAAACTTTAGACCCTAAACCCTAAACCCTAAACCCTAAACCCTAAACCCTAAACCCTAAACCCTAAACCCTAAACCTTAAACCCTAAACCCTAAACCCTAAACCCTAAACCTGCAGGCCGAGCTGCGCGCCCAGCAGCTAGCCAACGACCTGGCCAAGGCACTTGGCCGTTGCGTGTTTTGTTTCGGGCTTGGGGTGGTTTGGGGTTTAGGGTTTAGGGTTTAGGTTTCATGGTTTAGGGTTTAGGGCTTGGGGCGGTTTAGGTACGAAAGGTTGACATCTAGCACGTTCCCAACCTACCGAGGAGCAGCCCTACACATGATGGTTCCTTTTGCAAAGACCGGCTGTTGGAGAACATCCTTGTATGTGTACATAGTTATACATGATATGGACTTGGGATGTAGTAATCATATAGGGTGCATATTATAGGCTCAGGTAGCCAGCATAGGCAGAACCGCATCATTGCCAGGAGTTTGACGCTGCGCAAGGATATTCTCAGGCTCCCCCTCAGGCTTGGTTCTTTGGGGGTTTCGAGGGGTGCAAGGCTTTAGGGTAGACCCTAAACCCGAAACCCGAAACCCTAAACCCTAAACCCCGGGTTCAGGTTCAGGAGTTGACTGGTCCAGCTTGGTGGCTTTCGCGTGGGTGATGGAGGACATTTGTTCGGATGCTTCGTCCCACCTCTGGTCAGGGACAAGGGTCTAGTTTAGGGCTTAGGATTCAGGGTTCAGGGTTTAGGGTTTAGGGTGAAGGTTTAGGGTTTAGGGCTTAGGGTTTAGGAAATAGGGGTTGCAGTGCATGGTGCGGGCGGGGGTGCATCAAGAGCTCGGTGTTTAGGGCATCAAAGAGTCCAGTTCTGCATGCTCAGAGTCCTGAAACGATCATGCCGTCAATGTGTGCAATGTGCTATGTTACATTGCCTTGGTAGCCCGAAGGTACACTTTCTCCCTTTTTTTGGTTCAAGGTTCCCTTATAAAATAAACAACCCAAAAAGGGTGCCCTGATTATGATATGGTTACTGGGCTACCAAGTTGCATCTTGATTGCAGTATGTTATGTTATATGTTTTGCCACATGATCTGTGTATGTTCTATTACTTGTTATAGGTGGTATATGCTGTCTCGTACTACGGTGCGTGATATTCCATTACATGGCATCATATCATGTTATATTGCATGATTTTATCCTATGTTACACTCTATTTTGTTTCAGAATAGAATCAAAAAAGCAATCAACATCCATATATATATATATACATATACATCTACATATACATATACATATACATATACATATACATATGTATGGAGAGTCGGCGAAACATCGGGCCAACCCCCGCAGGCATGAAACTTCTGCAATGGGGAGATCCTTGGTACTTGAACACCTGAAGGGGTGCAGTCCTCAAACCCCGAGCTGATCTTAAAGTGTTTTTTAGGGTTTTGAGAGTAGGCTTTAGGGTTTAGGGTTTAGGGTTTAGGGTTTTGAGATTAGAGATTAGGGTTTAGGGTTTAAGCATAGAAACCCCAAACCCTGCTCGCCTTAGGTTCCCAGACCCGCCCCTACTGCCTAAACCTGGGAACCCCCCGTGCCCGCCTCTGCGGGTACCACTTTTGTCCCATTGGTGTTAGGCTCTTACCCCTTTACAGCCTCTCTACCTCCCCTTGTAAAGCCTAGTCTGGTTTGCTCACAGGGCCCCAGCGGTTATGGCCAGAGCGGCTACATCCAGAGCGGCTACGGTCAAAGTGCCAAGTGCTTAGCCTCACCAAAACGCGTCGAAACCACGCCCTACTTAGGGGTTTCCGAATTTAGGGGTACTGCCTTCTTGGGGTCCTGATTATGGGGGGATCCTGCTATTTGGGGGCTCTGTCTCGGGGGGTGCCGCTATGCTCTTCAAGTCCTACTTGAGCCCAGGAGATGATTAAGGTTGATGATCATTGGATACAGTGTAGAACTGCAAGAAGTAAAGCTGCCACCAGAACAGCAGCCAAAACAACAGCAGCGGCAACCATAGACCTTAAACCAACCTTAAACCCTAAACCCTAGATGAGCCGTGCATAAGTGATGCGCTCCCATACACATAGTCAGAGCACCCAGCGCACCCCCAGGGCTCAGAGCCCCAAATTCTGTCAAGACCATCTCAGGCCCTGCCCTCTCCTGTGCCACTCATTTCGCCCTCCGTACAGCGCCGGCCTGAGAGTTTGCGGTTTGTTGGGGGTTTGGGGGTTGGGGGTTTGGGGGGAGAGGCATCCTCAGACCTACCCAGACAAAGGGGTCTTCCTATGCGGGTCCCCCTTTTGAGGGCACTCTCAGGACCCGTCCTGCCGGCTTGAACCTCTTCCACCCTGAACCCTAAACCCTAAACCCTAAACACTAAGCCCTAAACACTAAACCCTAAACCCTAAACCCCAAACCCTAAACCCTAAACCCTAAACCCTCAACCCTAAACCCTAAACCCTAAACCCTAAGCCTTCCGCTCCGAGCCCCAAGCCCTCAGGTACCCGTACGGCTCGTACGGCTCGCAGACAGCGCCCCCTGCCCAGGCTGTGTGCTGGATCACCGCGGATCACCCGCGCAGGGTAGGGCGAACATATATATATATATATATATTTATTTATTTATTTATTTACATTTTTATTTATATTTATTTATTTATTTATATTTACATGATCATTCCATGTTCATTTTTATTTTGTTTTTGTTTTACCATTTTCATTCATATTTATATTTCTGTTTCAATTTATATGTATATTCATATTCATATTCATATGTATATATATATATATGTATATTTATTTATTCAAAAAGATTATTAGACCTACATCTTGATATGTTCTTATGCTGTTATATCCGTATACCGAAATATATTTCAATACTTGTTTTTTTGCCTGACTCTGCTATTCTATTCGTATATTGCTGCACATATACATGTACATCTACATCTGCATCTACATATACATATTCATATCCATAAATGGTCCAGTGCTCCCCGGCCCCCCCCCCCCCCCCCCCCCCCCCCCCCCCCCCCCGTGGTGTGGTTTGGGTTTGGTTTTGGGGTTTCGGGTTGTTTATGGTTTAGGTTTTGTGTTGAAAGGTTTTAAGGGTTAACCCCCCGCCCCCCCGTGTGCAGCTTAAATAGGGTCTATTTGGAAGCTGGGAATCGTATTTACAAGAGGAAAACAGGCCCCAAAACGTATACTTATTCACAAGAGCCATGTTCCAAATAGACCCTATTTTAGGTCCTGTAGGGTTGCACAAACAGAATTTAATTCATTAAATTCCTTAATTTCCACTTTCCCCCTGGAATTTAATGAATTTAATCAATTAATTCAATTAATTCATTTATTTCCAAAGGGGGGGGTGGAATTAATTGAATTAGTTGAATTAATTGAATTAATTGAAATTGAATTAATTGAACCCCCCCCTTTGGAAATAAATGAATTCATTGAATTAATTGAATTAATTGAATTAATTGAATTAATTGAATTAATTGAATTAATTGAATTAATTGAATTAATTGAATTAATTGAATTAATTGAATTAATTGGAATTAGTTCAATTAATTCAATTAATTCCACCTCCCCTTTGGAAATAAATGAATTAATTGAATTAATTGAATTAGTTGAATTATTTCGATTAATTCAATTAATTCAATTAATTCATTTATTTCCAAATGGGGGGGATTCCCCAGCCCCCACCCCTCCCCCCCCTTTGGAAATAAATGAATTAATTGAATTAGTTGAATTAATTGAATTAATTGAATTAATTGAATTAATTGAATTAATTGAATTAATTCAATTAATTCAATTAATTCAATTAATTCATTTATTTCCAAAGGGGGGGTGGAATTAATTGAATTAATTTAATTAATTGAATTAATTCAATTAATTCAATTAATTCAATTAATTCAATTAATTCAATTAATTTATTTATTTCCAAATGGGGGGGATTCCCCAGACCCCACCCCCCCAGCTCGATTTGGCCAATTT